CTGCGCTCAGAGCCACACCTCTCACACGAGACAGATTTATGCGAGCATTAGGAAAGATTCAACTTAATACACGCGTATCACTCACGAGCTAAGCATTCTATGAAAATTTGACCCTAGTATGAGTTATGCTGATCGAAGTAGCTAATTTGCATAATCCTTTATAAATTAAAAAACGATTATAAATAAAAAAATGTATGAGTCGGACAGGACTTCAACGTTGACTAGTATATAGTAGCCATCAGGTGCAATAACACGTATTAATCACCTTAATATTTGTTGTATTGCTTAAAAAAAAAATTAAACATACGAATAATAATAAAATCATTTCTGTCAAAACTATGAAACTAAATAAATTTAATGACTATATTTCGACAAATTATATAAATATTTAATACAGTTAAAAAAAACATTTTTGACGCGAATCAAAACACAAAATTAATAAGTTACGATAAGATAAGTTTATTTTAAATACAGGCAGATATTCCGGATACCTCGCAGCAGCCCGGTCACGGGGGGGCGGTAGGGGGGTAGGACGTACAAGTTAACTAATAGGATTCGCGTTTGAAACGGTTAAAAGTGTTTTATTAAAATGACTACTAGCGTAAACTATAGACAATACCTAATGTAAATTTATTTTGGAAAATATTGTTATTGGCATGAAGTACATGCTTTAAGGTTAATAAACATCTTTACACATTTAAATAAAAATATTGTATATGTCTGTATTCTGCGGTTGGTACTATAAAAAATTACGACACAAATATCTTTACAGAAATGATAGTTTTCAATATTATATTAAAGTATTAAGTACTTAATAATTTAAGTTTGAGTGAAACTTCTATTTGAATTACATCTTTACTTACCATATTGCAAAAAAATATTTTTAAAATATCGCTAATATTACATATTATTAACCACAAATGATCGCCGGCGCTTAGCATAGGTGTGTGTGTGTACTATGAAAGCTTGCACTATTAAGTTAAGCAGTCTAGGTTTATTGTAACAGTGATAGAAACGGGAGGAAGTCTTCTGTGTCTCTCCGGATGGTACATGAGAGACTGCATGTAAATCAGCTTCATTGTGCCGAGATCGCTGCGAGCTCTGATTGTGTTGGAGATTCACTTACTACAAATAACGAGATACGTATTCATTTCAGATTGTAAGGAGAGTTAACTCGCTACGTACCTCACATAGACATAGCGATTCAATACAATAATCAAACAATTATTACTTACCCTTCTTTTACGACACAACTCGCTAATCTCTACGAGTTTATAGCTTATTTTTTGGTCCCTTAGATACATTTTTATAAAAAATACCTTCTTCACAACTTTTACAATGTGATATATTTATACAGGGTGCCGCCACACACTCAGATGACCCTTAGTAAGATGTGGTTAAGGAGATTGAGCATATTTGCAAAATTTCATAAATATCATCCTATTACCAATTACTACGTTTTATTAAATAACAAAAAAAAAAATGATACGATTAGCTACAGACACTAGAATTAATGATAATCTATAATAATGCCATAAAGTTGAAGAGTTTGTTTGTTTGAAGGTGCTAATCTCAGGAACTACTGGTTTGAATAAAATAAATATTTTTATGTTGACTGGGCCATATATTGAGGCTATAAAACAGTGACCGATAGGTAAGATGATAATTTATCTTTGGGTTGCGATGCGAAAACGTAACGATACATATCCAAAAATAATATAAAAAATATTTATCTTTTAATAAAATCTAAACTAATGCCCGCGACAATATATATCTTCTAAGATTACCTTATAAGAAACGTTTTTATAATAATAAAATTTGATCGCAATCTATACTAGTCTATACTAATATTATAAATGCGAAAGTAACTCTGTCTGTCTGCCTTTAACTCCAAAACTACTAAACCAATTTAAATAAAATTTGTAGAGCCCGAGAAAGGACATAGGATACCTTTTAATGCCAAAATGGGTTGTTAGGTGTTGAAAAGGGGGATGAATGTTTGTTTGGAAATTTGTGATTTTTGAAGCTAAAATGAAACTTTTTTTCTTTGGTGTTTTTGGTGATGGAAGTGAGAGTGGGAGTGAGTGTAGAGTGAGAGTGGGAGTGAGTGTAGAGTGAGAGTAGGAGTTAGAGTAGCAGTGATGTGAGGTGGGAGTGGGTGAGAGTGTTGCGGCAAACAAACACATAAACACTGTGACACCAAATACACATGACATGGTCAGGCAAAGCACAGAGGTCTAATCAACGTACGTAACACATAAAATCATGGTCTGTCCCACTTCTCACATGTGAGAAACACTTTCAAAGTTTTCGCAATCGATACGAACGAATAATTATGCACAACATATTACTGTTGTGCATAATTATTCGTGTTTGCTAATTGGTGCTCGTAGGCTGGTCTCATTTCTTCTTTTTGGTAAGGCCCTTAACATTAAACATGCCTTCTGTGAGCACATAAGTACCAGTCTAATTATTGTCTTTCACAAAAGTAAGACATGTCTCAGTTGTTTATCTCGTATGTAGCTAATCTTGAGTCGAGAACAACAAAAGAACTCGGCATCTTAGGAGTGGCTCGACTCGAGGCCCCATTGTATCCACAGCAAACCGACAAACATCATACACTAACTTTCTCGGGTCACGTCTAATTCTAGTTCACTTGTAATGTTTTATATCAAAACTCTGCTCGCGGCTTTACTTGTAACATAGATATTTTAGAGCGAGTGTTAACGTGTGTGTATCAAGAGAGTAAGTGTGTGCGTTTTATTCAAGGTGCCGACAGACAATACCTGTAATTAATATACTTTCAAAACAAACATTAAATTTAAAGAAGATCATTTTTTCATATAAAATTAATAGCGCGAAAGTTGTCTAACGACAAGAAGCAAAGGAGAACTGGTCATAGTTGTTTTCCCATATAAAGTACTAGCTGTGCCCGCGACTTCGTTCTCATGGAATGAATTGGTGTGACCTTCGGTAGAATTTTGAATTACTTAGCTTGTTTATTTATTTATTTTATAAAAAATTTATAAGACACAAATCGTTATCTTTCCAGGATTCTAATTTAGAGAAAACTAGCGTATAACGCGATATTACGTATATCCATTAGGATAGTAAGGCGACTAAATGTTTAGTGTGTACTTAATGCAGCTATTCAACTGTCTTCCAACGGAAAACTTGTATAGAAGAAAAAAAGTCACTTGTTAAATTGGTCAAGCTATATTAGGAAACGCTGAGAATCGTAGGTTTGAGTTTGAATCTTTTTAAAGCATTGTTTTAGTCTAAAACATTTTTTTATAAAACATGTGGTGAAACGTGAAAATTATAAACAATTAATGTGGCTTCAATGTGGTACCTACTCGTAAATACGCGTCAGTGAAAACATACTTACTTTCAAACACAGTGAAACCTGGTTAAGTGGGATCTCAAGGGACCAAGGCCTATGAATTAATTATTAAGGGTTTCCAATAATCTAGTTTTTCAATTAAGCAGGTTTAAAAATATAGTTATCTCATTTATTGAGGCCGCCGCGTTTGTTTGTAAACAAACATGTCATAACGTGTTAAAACCAGATAAATTTGTCTCACTTATACTTATATTACAGACTCTCAATTATAGAAGTAAACGTTGAAAAATTCCTAGAATTCAAATTTCATTTAACCAGGTACAAAAAAATCCATTAATAGAGGTTATTTAATAAAAAAATAACCGGGACCTCATTGCAACTCTCCATAATAGAGGTTTCTCATTTATCCAGGTCCCACTTAACCAGGTTTAATTGTATTCCCACTAAAAGCAACAAATCACTTGAAAATTAGGTTTAAGAACGTGTAAAGCCTACAGCAAATATAAATTCGCGATAGTAATTGAAAGCAGAGCGCGCCGCCATTTCAGTTAATTCTCTATTTTATGACGTCATATTTTGCGCAACCAACGCGGAGTTGTAAGATCGAGTACCATTTAGAGGCACTTTGTTAACGTCTATTGTTACAATTTGCACCACATCTTTGTAAGCCGTAGTTAGTCGTTATACACTACATATAGCTTATTGAAACCTCGTTCAAAGTTGTGAAGTAAAGGGTTTTTATTGTAATATGTATCATCTTATATTATACTAGCTGTAGCCAGCGATATCATCCGCCAAGAAAATTGGGCATAAAAGATTGTTTTTGCAAACCTCCTCCGATATAAAATTTTAGCTTTTACCTACGATGTCGTCCGCATCCCGTCGTTATGCAAGTTAATCTTAAAAAACATATAATGTCGCGGACATTTTTTTTACATCGTTTAAAAGGGAACTGTTCTTTCTTATTTTTACATAATTTTCCACTGTTTATTCGCTACTATTGGTCGCAGCTTAATTTTATATAGCCTAAAGCCTTTCTCGATAAATGCTCTAACGAACATAAAAATAATTTTTATACAAACAAACACTTCAGCTTAATAATATTAATATAACCACACAATACATATACACCGTGTCAGCGTTACATATCAGTAGTAGTGTAAAAAAAGAAACCAAGGTACTTCATTAGAAGTTAATATAATTCATTATAAGTATTAATATGTACCTTAAGTTTTGTAAATGAATTCTTTCAACTACGACCTAATGTTTTGTTTTGTTTTTTTTTTCGCCTTTTAAATAGTTTAGCTACTTCTTGCAAAATAACCAACTTAAAATCAATTTATGGTCTGAATTAATAACAGTTATTGACTCGCAGTTCACAGCTTGCATTCACTGTTACGGAGAGATCTCAAATGTTCTCGTGTGGCAAATTAATAGCGCTCGTCGCAGTGAAATTAGCAAGAAACCAAGTGTGAAAGCGAGGAGACGCCTAAGAACAATGAGCAGAACGTCCGTTGGGTTTTGCGAACAAAGCGAAGTTTTAGTGAGCTAGATACACTTAGATCAGTGGCAGGAAATTGGTTGAATCACTCCGTTCCTAGTTTCTTAGTGAATGATGTATTCCTGGTCCATGAAAAATATGGGAGTGTTATAGATCATGAATGCCGAGAGTAAGTCAAGAGTTTAGATGTCTCCCTTTCGACATTAAATTTTGTTTTGAATGATTGACAATGACATAAGAATATAAGATTCTAAAAAAATACGCCCGATGTAGGCGCACTAGCAATGCTGTTCCGAAAAGCTTTGCCTGCTCCTTCACTTCTTTTTCGCGCCACATAAGGGACTAAGGAAAGAAAATTACACCAACCAAGCATTTTAGTTTCTGATGAAGTATTGCTTAGTGTTGTTTGTGCTATGTTTTGTCTACTTCTTCCTTTTTTTTTACCACTTGCCACAGGCAAAGCGTTAATTAAATAGAAGCTGAGACATCCCAATCTATTGCATTTTAGTTACATTAGACTTTTTTCTAATTCTTTGGTCATTGCAATTGTCTCTCTCTTAATTTTATTCCCTCTTGAAGTTTATTACCATCTCTTCCGTGTATCTTTTTGGTGAGTCGTTAATAATAATCCTTGTCTTGACAATATCCCAGATTAACCCTTGCTGGATCTTCTTTTTAATCAACCAATCTGAAGTAGGTTTTGACGAGATCAAGAAGCCACTCCTACGTCACAACTCGCTCTTAGTAGACATCACACTAGTGAAAGCAAGCCAAGTCAAATGCTATCACATGCTTAGGAACATTTCTTGCTTAGTTAGTGGAAGTGTTAGTAGCACAGCTTTTGGACGCAAACGAAGGATCTGGTCTTTTAGCACTGGCTTAAGGGGATCGACGAATACAAAGAAACTATCTTTAATGATGTACTTTAATTATGTTTTCAGTACGTTTATAATCTTGTCGTAAACATACATAATACGATGGACGATACGTTGCATTTCGAGGGACGGTTACACATCTAAAGCAAGCAGTATACGCCCGAGCTTGCCAAAAATTTCACTTTGCCGTAAGTGTTGACTGTCAACAAATGAGAAGTTCCGGACTTCACCTCTGAAAGAATTCACTCTGATAGTCGTAATTTTGTAATGAGTATTTCTCACAAGTTTAGTTAAACATTTTGTAAAACCGTGACCAAACAAAGGATTGTTAGAATTTTTTTATAATATATAAATGCTAATCTGCGATACGACTAACAAGTCAACAAACGATATTACTACCTGTTCTATTCAGCCAAAGTTGACCAAATAAAGGATTGTTAGATTTTTTATATATATATGCGAATCTGCGATAAAGTGTAAGAAAAAATTGTTATGGGGAAATGGGTGAAATGGTCAGCTGATAACGTGTGGGGTTTCATTCTAAGAAGCGTAAATTTCATAAATGAATTTATTTTTACTGTATTGATTTATTTGTATTATAGTAGAAGTAAACACAATTTTATATAGGTAATAAGGACAATTCCACATTTCGAAAGCCTTAAGAAACAGCAAGATCAAGAAAATTAAGGAACCATAATTCATAACTATTAGTTGCTTTTAGTTAAATACATGAGACGTCGTTATTTTCAGACTACAGTTACGAAACTTCTCTCATTATTGTTTCACGCAAATCGTTCTCTCGTCTCTCGACAAAATACCGAGGTCCCTGAATCACCAGAAAGTGTTACTAAGAATTGCCAATTTCTGCTTCGAACCAGAAAGATGTGAAACTATTCAAACTGAGAATTTCTTTAAATATTTGATTATTTATTTATGTATTGCGTCACACAGAGTATATGCAAATATAACCTTAAAATAAGTCTGAATATTACAACTGTTAGGGCATCGTTATTACCAGTTGGGGAGTCCAATGGTCGGTCTTATAGAGTGATCTCTTCCAGGCAAACCCTTTTCTTTTATTCGTGGTCTCTCCTAAAATTATGAAGATTTTTTGATTTGTGAAACGGTAATATGGCCAATATTAGTAAAATCTTCTGTTAATGTTTTTCATATTCTGTTATAACATATAGTAATTCTTCTTGTATTTTTTGGCAATTTTTATTGGTCTATTTCTCGTTTTATTCTACACATCCAATGTACCACGGGTAACATAGCACGGCGATTCTAGTAAATAAAAGTCGTAAGCTTTCGATGACTGTAAATCTCCCAGCGCACTTAGTGTGCATCAGAAAACGAGTTCTAAAAAACGGTAGAATCATTCCATCTTATTTTTAAAGTTACGAGACGGAAATCGTTCCTCGAGTTATTGAATTTTAAATTTTTCGTCGCGTTGCGTTTCATTTTATTTGTCGGTGTCGGCGCCGCCGTGTCTTGATCTTGTCTACTGTTCGCTTCGGTTATGCAACTCACAAATGATTATTGATAAATATGGCATGCGAAATTCCATGGTCCTAACTCTGTGTCAGTTTTCCAGCTTTAAACACGCAAGATGCACTGAAACACTGGTGATTAAATCTTGCCTAAGCTAGGAAACAAAACTACCAAATCTTTCAAAGAATGATGACGCACGTTGAATATTATCGTTTATTCACAAAAAAGAATAACAAAAAACATCGATATTTAATCCGTTCGTATTTGGATAGCATATTTTATTAATTAAAAATTATCTACTTAACAGTCAAAATTCTTATTTATGAATATATATTAAGCAATGTGTACAATAATTATTTTTATTAGTTATATTTATTACATTGCTCAGGCGCATTTTTATACGAATCATACTTTAAATACGTCTTGGGTAATCGGTTTAGGTAAGTCGGTACTGTCTTCTTAATTATATCTCTTTATCGTATCTCCAAGAGATTTGTCGCTTAGGCATATAGCATTGACCCAATTCTGAGTTACTACGCGTCAATTAAATAACCGATTTCCTTGTGCCCGGAATATGTGAGAAAAAAGGCACAAGGAAATCACAGGATTTTAGAACTTCTTTGTCATGAGTATATAATTAGATATTTAAATAATTAAAACTCACAGTGAATCAGCACGCTGCGTTATCATGTTTATTCCATTTTATCAACATTATTCGATGATTATGTGCAAAGTTTTAAGTAGCTTGTTTTGTACTTTGATATTTTCAATTATTATTCGTCCATTCGTATATATTAGTTATATATGTGATTTTAAAAGATTGAGAAATATAATAGGCATCATTGTTATAACATATATTACTTATATCTTAATAAAAGTGTCTATCTCGCCATTTTCATTTTATTGATCACGATAGTATTGGAAAGCAAAAGATCAGACATCTATATAATCTTAACTCGATAACTAACACATAATTAGTAACTACGAAATTCGAATAGAAATTCGTAACAATAGAAGACATGTATTATGTCACAAATGTATGTAATAAAACGCGGATCTTCCGTGTCGCATTTGACGGAAGGTGACTACGCAACAAAATTGTGGCTAATAAACAAAAAGAACGAATAACATATACCTTACCGAACGAATGTACAAATAAAGTAAAGAATTTGCCAGTCTAAATATATATATGTAGATAATGATAATGCATGTTGCATTATAGCTCTAAAACTTACTACAAATATCAATTAAAATATTATGATGAGAAAGATATATCTTTTTTTTATCAAACAACTTAATATAACATTTAAACGGTTTAAAACGCGAATATATTAATCGAATGTATTTTTTGTTTATTACAAGTATAACGTTTCGGATTTTTTATAGCAGCCAGGGGGACCTCAATATAAGATATCACGTTTGAAACCGTTACAGGGTTTTATTTAAGTGTGTACAACTCGCGTAAACTACATGCCTTGAAGTAAAACCTTATATAAAACGACAATTAAATGTTCACATAATAACTAGATCCATATCTTCCAGTGCCCTCAGCGCGCATCCTGGGTGGACCAGATCTACACGTGGACATCGGCTCCACAATAAACCTCACCTGCCTCATCCAGTTCAGCCCGGAGCCGCCCGCCTACATATTCTGGTACCACGAGGACGAGGTGAGCGGACGAAAAGTAATTATTCATTTCTAATACTTTGTTAAATTCTAAAACACATAACTCAGAACAAGAGAACTGACCAAATGGGTTTGTCATGTGAGATAGTCGACATTCTCCGAATTTTTCAACAAAGCAAAACGTTAAAATATTAATTACTATATTTGTTGTATGGAAGGTCTCTTAAATATGAATTTTAATAAGTTTTAGTATCTGTTACAGTGAAACCTGGTTAAGCGGGACCTGGATGAATGAGAAACCTCTATTATTGCGAGTTGCCATAAGGTCCCGGTTCTTCTTCATTAAATTACCTCTGTTAATGGAACTTTTTGAACCTCGTTAAATGAGATTTGAATTCTAAAACTTTTTCAACGTTTACCTATATAATTAAGACTCTATAGGTCAATTAACTGTGTAAGTGAGACAAAGTTATCTGGTTTTAACACGTCTGTTTACATACAAACGCGGCGGCGTCTTAATTGGAAAACTGGATTATTGGAAACCCTTAATAATTAGTACATGTATCTTGGTCTCTTAAGATCCCAATTAGCCAGGTTTCACTCTAATCGCGTAACTAAACTACAACTGCCTTAGTGCCCAGTCCCATTGAAGACGGAACCCTAAAAAACGACAACAACGTCCAGTTCATTAACTAGCATACTTTTAACTATCTATGTTTGTACTTAACGGTCTTAAGATAAGATTGTCTAACAGCTTCATAACTCTGAGTTATGTGTGCCTATCTATAGTTTGGTTAAGTACATGTTGTTATGACTCCGGCATATTCTTTAACAAATATTGAACTCACGAAGGCCATATTCAGACTTAGACGTCAATAAAAGTCATTATTCCATTATACATTACGTAAATCATAATATTATATATTACCAAGGTTTTTAACGACATTTTATTAACGATGATTGGAATATAATTTGCACGCTACTGTTATTAAATTAATTTATAATTAATTTTATTTTTTATAATAGATGAGCACAGACAAGCAATATATAGCAATAGAATAGTATTTCACTTAGATCAAGTGAAATACTTCCGCCATACTTCTAAACACGCGCTATCGACCTATTTCTGCTTTGGATGTTCGGAAATACACATACTGGAACCGAAACTTGACGGCTTTTTATCTATGGACGGTGGTGGGTGACCCGGGCGGAATATCTATATTCCTACCACCTGTGACCAGATTCCCAGATGATGGCCAACTAATTTTGAAAAATTATAAATTGATTAAAAATGTTGGACTAGGTCGGGGTCGAACTCACGACGCCTTGATTAGTTACCATTGCATCAACAAGTCTAACTTATGTCACAATGTGGCTGTGTCCTTAGCTATATTCCATGGATGCCTTATTTCTTGTTTATATCTTCAAGATATATTGACTCTTCTTCTCAATTTGAATAGTGATAGCCATTTGCAAAAAACACTACTTCGACTGTACTTAACTAGCCTTTTGTCGATTTTTAAACAAAACTATATTTCGAGTCGATATTTAAACTAGTTTTGGTTTGTTTGTGTTTGACAGTCAATTTATTACAGTTAAATTTCACTTCACAATTTCATTTTGTTGTCGGCAACTGATTAATAAAATGTGTGAGTATACCAAGTAGAAGAACTCCATAGGAGTACATAGTAGCTATTTTAAAGGTTGCATTCGATATTTTAATAAAATCAAAGTGACTTCACTTACAAGCCCTCAATAAATAAGTTGAAATCGTATGTAAAATCAAAAACTTGGAAAGAGTAATTATGACGTAAATCAATATTTAAACGATAAACATGCTTGGTGTGTAGACCAACCCGTTCTTACAAAAAAAAATTGACCACTTAAAGTACGGGAAGACAGTAAAATAAAAGTTGGCGATAAAAGAAGTAACGGCGAGTTTCTTGCCAGTTCTTCTCATTCGTTGTATGCCCTTGATTTGAGAACTGGTAGTAAATGTAAATTTAGAGTCAAAAACAAAGTTTTAATTGGTGTGAAGTTCATTAGTGTTCCTAGTCACCTACGTTAATAAATGATTTTGACTTTTAATATCGTTAGCAACTGATTATAAAGATCTTAACTTAGTCGCCCGAGAACTTCTCACGGAACTGTTCCATTATATATTCCTATATCCTCGGAACTAATATCGCAACAGACAATAACATTAGTGCCACCCGGATGTTATAAGTTTCGTGGACTTTCAACGAAATAGATTTCGTGACGAGGCTTTCCTGGGTGTCAGTAATGGGTTACCGGGTTATTTAAATAAAACACTTTAACGGTTTAAAACGCGAAATATATTAGGGTTACCGGGTTCTTAGCTAATAAATTAAACGGTAAATTTTGATTACTACTATAGTTTCCTGTACTTTTATTTATTCCGAATATCTAAAATCTAAAGCTAAAAACTGATTGACAGCGCGTCTCATTGAGATGCCATATCACGGGGTATTTTACCTTCCATCAAGGGAACCCCACGCTTGTCTGTTGTTCTTTGTCATAAAACAAAGATTATACACTTTTTTAGATACTTTCTGCGATCTATTGTTTTGAGTACTTTTTCTAAATTCCTTGTTTTACCCTTAGTATAAGTTTCATGTCTCACGAAAAAGTTACTTATCTTCTAACACATTTTTACCGATAAACTTTTACTAGGCTCGCTTATTATTTAAGTTTGACTGTCATTTGTTTTTAGAATTATACATACATGTAACTGTCAAAGAAGAATAATGTTTAAACGTGTTTATTTAGTTTTTTCAATTCAGAATTTAACAATGTGGCGCTTGTCGTGTTGAAGCAGGTAATATCGTACGACTCATCACGCGGCGGCGTCTCGGTGGTGACGGAAAAGGGCTCCGCCACCACCTCCTACCTGCTGGTGCAGCACGCCGCTCCTGCGGACTCCGGTCGCTACTCTTGCGCACCCTCGAATGCGGAACTGGCATCAGTGCGCGTTCACGTGCTCAACGGTAACACGCTTTATAATTTTAAGAAAGTTTCAAATAACACACGATTTATTCACTTAAGAATAGCACGCACCTTATATTATTATGAACTAACATATTAATTGACATTGTAATCAATAGCGTATAAATTAAAAATTGATATCATCCACAGCCTTCTCTTTGCTCTAACGGCTAACCAATTGAGCTACCGTGTTCTATCCGAGATAGTCGTTTTTTTTAACCCTCTCGCGCATTGTAATTTCAACCTTAAAATTTGTTACGCATTGTTTAATAGCGTAGAGTGTAGACTAACGAGCTTCAGAGTAAGAGGCCCTTTGTTTGACGGAAATGATCACTTTTCCAACACTAGACATTTACTTAACTGGTACTTATGATAGTTGCATCAACATTTTAATAAAAAAATTTGTAGAAAATCTTGCTATTACAAAAACATACACACCGCACATCGTATCGCCTCATCTAAGTTTTTAAACATGGATCTAAAATAGGGATAGTATTACATAATATTATTAATGTGGACAATATTAAACTTATTGTACCTTTACAAGATAGTCCCATGCGATAGAAATACTAAAAGATCACATTAAACAATTACATACAATAAAACATTCATTTTTGAATTTTTGTCAATTCACCCAAGCTGCACGTTAAAATGTCAATCATCTTCTGCAGCTTGTTGATAACCCACATAGAACGAACAAGGGGGATGTCATGGGGAAATTGGTTGAATGCGGTAGCGTAAGTATAGTAGATAGATAGTCTCCACACGTATCTCCTGAACAGACAACTGTAAGGACTGTAGAACAATACCTTAATCAAAAACCAACCGTTCAATACTTGATGTGACATGAAACCAGCAGGGAATAAAAAATAATATCTCAACAGTAGGTACTTTATGAAGTCCGTGCGACGTTTTCCAACTAAAATGGTTGAACAAAAATTGAACATAAAACTTCGAATGGCGTATTGAATTCATTTCGAGTCGAAACTGGAGCAATGTCCTGTGCTTGCCAATAATCTTTTTTCAGTTGAAATATTGTATCGTTTAGAGTGGCGGCGGGGCGGTGGGACGGCGGCTAATGGTTGTATGTTGAGGTTAGCCAAGCATTTAGGCCATGTTGTAACAATTCGACTACCTATATACATTGTTCTTCCTTCGTCCTCGTGTTCGGTCTATGGCGACATTGTTTTTCATATCAAACAATCCTACTGGATGCAAAGTTTTGTGTAAAATTCTAAATACCTGTATCCGGGAAAGACTATATCTTCTACGTTCTTTGGTTTTTTGAGTTGCACAGTTTTTGAGTACTTCTTGTAGGAAAGAAAAAAACATTTTATTACGTAATCGGTTACGACGCCTGTCTACCTTTCCTTTTGCAATCAATATTAAAAATGTCGACTAGATTAGCTTAAACTATCATTTCTATCAAAGCGTTACAAAACGGTCACACGTCTTTTTGTTACTTACCTTAGTTAATAATAATAACGCGGAATATTTTAGTTAAATTATAAGTTTAACTAATTACTAATTTCGCATTTTAAACCGTTAAAATGTGTTATTCAAATGTGCACTACTCGCGTAAATCTTAGACGGTACTTTACCAACGACATAAGTTGTAAAAAGCATAAGAAATTTAAAGTATACCAATCAATACCACCCACGCAAAAGTATGTTATTTTTCGGGGCCGAAATTAGGACGTTTTTTTCTTATATATATTCCTTATGCTAATTCTTTGGTTTCATACATGTTTCTTTGTTTAGGCGAGCGGCCAGCGGCCATGCAGACAGGATCCGCAGGACTTTCAGACAGCTCATGCGCCATCGCACTTCTCTTGGCCACTTGCCTGCTGCACGCCCGTCTGCTGCGCGCCCAGCTCGCTAGCTGATTGGGACAAACAGAGCACACAAACACAGTACAGAAAACATAGTTTTCACCCTACTAACCTAATTAAATACATCTTAATCGTAAGGTTTTTATGAGCGAAATATATCGTCATGCCACTGTGATTTAAATTCGACACCGAGACGTTCTCTTCAGCCCAATTGATGCGTACATAGATTTGTTAAGGCTGCGGTCTCCTATAAGCGTAGGCCGTTAAAACGTAACGCGTCATCTGACTACACTGACGGATACATACATGATCCTCTAGCTGGTTCCAGGATTTAAGTGGACCACTAATTGAACGTAGTGATTTTATTTACAAAATATTATGTGTTAAGTTCTTCAAGTGTTCAATTAATAATGAGTATTTGAAGTACAGTACGTTTAAGTATGTAGTGCATTAATATAATACCTACTTTTTATTTTCTATTGTTGTCAAAATTAAGCGACCACGACTCTGTGACCCCTCCTGGCGCCAAAGCTGGATCCGCCCTTGTCTAACAATCTACCAATTGATCAGTAGACGGTACATCTGATTCACGTAAAACAAAGCTCTTGTCGCAATTCGGTGAGACAACAACAGTGCCCCTATATTTCTGGTACGTAAAGGTCTGCGTATATAGGAGACCGCAGCCTAATTAATATTAACGTGAAATTGTACAAAGTAAGAAACTGCCAAATCGTTTTCGTGTTTGTAGAAACGAAGCGGATTGTCTTGCTCAGCGAAGCTACAAAATACACTTGTAAAGAGTATGTTCTTAATTAACGTAGCGACGTATAAATAATTAAATATTGTAATAGTTGAAACGATAACATATTTGTACCAAAGAGATCGTCTTCGAATTAGGTTTTTGTAAGTTTTCGCTCCAGTTAGGAATTGTAAATATATATTTTTGAGCTGGCAACTTCGCCCAGTAGGTGGGATCGCAAAGTGTTTTCTTAAGGCACATCGTACACCAATTTATTTGATATTTCCAAGCAAAGGTAGCATATATCCACTATATTCACATTGTATAAGACCGGACATAAAGTTGACTGCAGGTGTGACAACGTGCGCAGTAGACTAGTAGAACACCTAGTATGCGGGGAGCTTTTTTACTTTACAAGTTATATTCGAAATGTGACGCATGGATGTAAACATGGAAAACCTAATTGTTATATAGTCTGGTTCCTGTATTACAGACCGGAATCCCATTACGATCCTATGTGGGGAATGGGGCCGAAACATTTCTTTGTCGCTATCGATTTAATCAACAGGGAAGTATCGGATTTCTGTTCCGAGTCAGATCGAAATAATTATCTTGTTGTTTGACCATTAAAGTACATTTACTTAAAACGCGATATATTAGTTAAACTTATTTGAAGCTGCTGCAAAGCATCCAAAACTTCGGGCTCTGGTTAAAATAATTTTCAAACAAGTTTAGAGCTTAGAGTTTTATTTAAATGTGTACTACTTGCGTAAACTACCGACAGCATTGACGTACAGGCTACAACGGCGTTTATTGTATTGTTCAAGTTCATGTAATGTTTCTTGATAATACGTTTTAAAACGATATCGCAAATATTTTTTTTAATGCATTGTCAAGTGACTTAAATAAATTAATTCAAAATTTGATTCAAAAACGAGACGGTTGAAAGCTCAAGAAATTGTGTTTTTTATAAAATTTTCTATCGTAAAATGAAAATTTGAAAATGTAAATATCCCTTAGAGTACGTACAATTATTGTATCTCGAAGTTTTCTCCTGCTCTTAATATGTAAGGTAGAAAACTGTTGAACGTCTCTGGTTATATTTCGTTGTACATATGTAGGTAATATAATTTATATTATTTAAGGACCAAACCTTTATAGTTAAAAAGTTTATAAATGTTTTGTGACGTTTGAATTAGTTGAATCGGTATCTACCATATAAATATTTAAGAATTGTGTTATGTTATTGTATTTCTTATCTCAATTCACTATCTCCGCGTCGTTTCTCACGACTAAAGTTCGATTTTTATGTAATACAATTTGCTGTGCACTATACACAGTAAAAAATTAAAATTAGTATCTTTCGATACACGAACTCCTGTCTAAGGAATTGATAAATATCAACGGGATATGAATTATTTTTTGTTTTTTGGCACTATATAAAGATTGTGTTTTCCACGACTCTTTTCTGTATCATAATTTGAATATGAATGCATTTTACACAGGTCACAGCTGTTGTTGAAACGTTTAAGTTTTGCTTAGATACGAACCCTGATGTATAAGCGATGAAAATTCCTAAAGGAATTCTATAGGTATGAATAGTACCTAATTCAGAGTAATTCACTAACAAACATTTTAAAATCGGATAAGCGTATGGTCTTTTTGAAAAATATAAACCTATTATTATTTCTAGAAATATATAACGTAACATTTTTAACATGTATTTAATTTAACAAAATCGAATGTGTTAAATGAAATTGTGTCATAAATTTGTTTTAAGAAACGCATAGTTTACTATTTATATTTCGGAAAAACTTAAAAAGCAACATGCGCAATGTCTTTGAATAGAGTGTAAATCTCTTTCTTTTGTTATGAAAAATGAGAGTAGAAAAGAAAATTCTAGAAGCTGTCAGTTGCCGATAAAGACATAAATATATGAGTAGGTACAAGCCACGTCGGCCGTAATATTACTATAAAATGTTAAGTGCGTTGATATATGTTGATACATCTTGTATAGTGTACCGTGTAAATATATCTATAATAGGCAAAGTTTTACAATAACTTCGATTTAAGTAGAGACACTTTCAGATGTACGATAAGAATATGTAAGCAAAACTATATGTATACATAAATCATATAAGTTTGTTTTCAAATAAAATATTTAATATTTATTGTCTTCCTTCTTTCTTTTTTTTTTTGCCACACCCAATATTGAGAAACTGAATTTCAGTTTTGACAATTCACAAAAATCTGCACGCGGATTAAATCAGATATAAGACATAATAATTGTATAGTAAAAAAGAAAAAGTATTTGAATTTTGCTAACAATGTAAAATGTACTACCCACAATTACGAAAACCTGTGCGATAATAATTAGTTTTATTCACATTAAACAATAATTATTTAAAAAGTCAAAAATGGTACGCTGCTTACAATATCAAACCTAAACTAATGTACTTTGTACAAAGTACAATCTAGTAGAGAGACTTTAAAATAACGACTAAAGAACTCAGACTCACTTTAATTCCAGAACAAGCGAACAAATTTCATAGCCTACCTGATTACCAACAAAAATAATATAAAGATATCGCTTTAACAAATCTTTAAAACTAGTAATGTGTTATATTGATACCGATAAAAAACATCGTGTTATCAAATGAGCGGGCGTACGCGGAGGCAGGAGGTGAGGTGGGTGAGATCGCAAAGAGCAGTCAAGCAAGTGTCAGTAAAGTATCCGCGTTCGTCGCGACTCAACACAGTTGCAACTAACCTGGTAACAAATACTTACAAGTATGAGCGACACGAAACGCTTCTCGCGGCAAGAAATTTCGTTGCGAAACAGTAAGAGTGATTTATACGTGATCATAGATAACCGCGTGTACGACCTGACCAAATTCCAGGACGACCACCCCGGTGGGCATGAGGTGCTGCAACAGGTAGCCGGTAAAGACGGTACCGAGGAGTTTCACGACGTGGGGCACAGTCTCGACGCTAAGGAACTGATGAAGAAATATTTGATGGGCGAACTTGTCGATGAGGATCGTGTGGAGCTCGAGAAACCACGACGGGTCTGGGAGGCCACAGCACCGACTGATACTAGCAACCTAACGGACCCTGTTGACGAAGGTTTCCTGTCTTCCTGGCGACTGCCCGTCGTACTTGGCGTGCTTGCTACTCTTCTTTACTATCTGTTCCTTTAGGCTACGAGGTTCGTTGGCCAACTTCACGACTGTGATCTATTTATTATTAAATATGTATTTACTGTGTTATATTGAAGTTAATGTGCCGGGAAAGGACAATTATGTTGGAGTGAATGAACTAGCGTTGTTTTTTTTAATTTCTCGCAGATTGTTTACTTTGTTTCGGGTGAACGTAAACTGTTAAATAAAATGTTGTTGTATAACCAATATCTTTCGTATGTATTTCAAATAACCCTGATTACAGATACGACGAACTTGAAGACGTAAGTGGTAGGTACTAATTTACTTCAATTGGAATTCTTATCGTTATCAAATTATTGTCGGTAACAAGTATTGCGCACCATTTCGCGCTAAAAATGTAGATTTGTCCTTGAAAACCAAATGTTAATTAGTGATGCTGAGTACTACAATTGGAATAAAACTTGCATATTTAAATAGGTATTTCTGTAAGCACAATCAAATTTAGTTTTATGTTGGTATCTTCTCATGACAGTAAAAACAGAGAAGCATGGACTTCGCTAAATACGCTAACATCTATATTAGGACGTCGTCCTATTTAGCATTTGGACATACAGTAATACAGACTAAAAATAAATCGCAAATACACACTTCACAATTTTCCATCGGCACCGTGGTTATTACCTAGACATTAATTTATTTCGATATTCCTACCACCTGTTATAAAAAGTTCGTTTACTATACTTTAAGAACTGTACATCTTTCATTTAATTAGTACTTAACATGCCATAAACGTTTGCAATGTGCTATCATAAAGTCCAATATACCAACGACACGTCAGACTATCCCCACCGCACCATTCATATGACATTGACTTAAGTCCAAAGTTCAACTCCAGAGCTGTGCCAATTGAAACAATTGGAATGAAGTGTTTCGGAGCCCATATTTTAACTATCTAAACCTATTTTCAAAAATATGACTTTATAATTAGATTAGTAATAACTATCGTGGATTTAAATAAATCTCTGTCAACGATGCGTTATCTATTGTAAAAAAAACATATTATGTAAATAATATTTGGTAGGGAGAAGATATTAACGATATTTATGTATTAGTTAGAAACTCTCAGAAGTGTTTTATAAAATACTATTACGCAAATACTTAAATTATATTTACATATATATAAGTATACACTCATTTGCGGATACAAAAATACATACAAATCACTGAGTACTATATACTTTATGGTGCAATAAAGAAATGAACATGTTGATACACTACGAGAGGATTAATGTACTCATTGAAGAATCAACTTGTATAATACCTGAACCGGCACCTGTTGTTTTGTTGTATGTAAGTTTAATATGGTAGTACAGTACTTCCTTAGATTAGTAGGTTTAAACAAACAAAATCTTTAGCTTTTTAATATTAGTATAGATTAACGAAAAGTCAGGTCACTACACTAAGATTAAAATTATACTAAATTACGTATTGAGAAACACTATTGTAAAACCTAGAAGTACTAAATATGAGGAAAAATTGCTTTTAAACACATGTTGTAAAATGCTTACAGGTACTACGTGCCAGTATTAGATGTATTTACAAAGTTGCTAGAAAGATACATACGTTTTTATGAGTAATTCAAGTATTAGACTCCCTTATCTTGTAGGTTACAAGTTACCTTAAAAATATAACACTTTAACGGTTTAAAACGCGATATACATTAGTTGGAAATTATTTTAGTCACTGGTCACGTATCCCCGGCTGCAAAGCATCCAAAATGTCGGACTGTAGTTAAAATAATTTCCATATAAGTTTAACTAATATAGATTGCGGTTTAAACCGTTAAAGTGTTATATTTAAATGTGTGCTACTCGCGTTAGTTACAGACAGTATTTGGGGTAATATAATTTATTATCTATGGTTAAACAACTGATAAAAAAGGTTGATTGTCTCTGTTCGACTGGAACATGTAGCGATCGGGGCAAAACGGGATTACCCCCTGAGAATGTAAGCGCAAAGCCGCTTGTGGCTGACGCAACCGGACATGGCCGCATGTCATCGTTCCAACCGGAAATTGTAGCTAAGCACGTGCTAGGTTGAACAGGTATGTTTGGGATAACTAAGAATTCTTGCATACCTCAAACTTAGACATTTTGAAAGGACTCGACTAAAAATCTATACTAATATTATAAATGCGAATATAACTCTGTCTGTCTGTCTGGCTTTAACTCCGAAACTACTGATTTAAATGAAATTTGGTACATACATATTTTAGAGCCTGAGAAAGGACATAGGCTTTTTAATGCCAAAAAAGGTTATTCACGGAAATTCATGGTTTTTAAGCTAAAACAATGAAACTTTCTTCTTTGACTTTTTGGGAATAGGAGTGAGAATGGGAGTGGGAGTGAGTGTAGGAATGAGAGTGGGAGTTAGAGTGATGTGAGGTGAGAGTGTTGCGGCAAAGTAGCACTTACAACATAGATTGGCTGCCTTAAATGCGCCCTTACATAAATTAATAAGCCTCCTAAATAATTAAAAATTCTACCCCAAGTCACTATTTTATGCGGACGAAGTCGCGGGCACAGCTAGTAATCTTTAAATGATACTCGTTCGAAACAAGATGCTTCGCATTTTCTTGGAAAATTTACCTTAGAAATAATATCAATAAACGAAATATGAGACAAAACCACCATCACTCAAAACTATTTCAATCAAAATGTGAAATCTTAGTTCGTCTACATAGTAAACACAATTATGTCTCAGGTAGAGATGGGATTTTATCCGGTAAATACTCGAATTCGGGTAAATAACTCGGGTAAAAAAAATAAAATCGCATATATTAGAATTAAATTTTTGGTCAATGGTTGAACATATTATCAAGTTATTAGAACCAATTACTCAGAAAATTTTTAAGCTGGAAGGTAATGGAATACAAATAAATGAAGTATACATGGCTTTCAAGGACATCAAATCCACATTAAATTCTGTGTTGCCAGAAATATCCATTTTAGATGAACAACACAAACAAAATATAAATAATAATGTAACATTCCAACATATAGGTATTGAATTGGATGAAGAACGCGAAGTGGACGCCATGGAATACATTCATGAAGTGAGTCAATTACTAAATATTGACGTTGGTATAGATTTAGCTAATTATAGAGCTAAAGAGGGTTTATGGGGTAAATCATTTAGTTGGAAAAATGTGACAGAAATGGATCCAGTAGTTTGGTGGAAAGGACTTTGCAGATCCAAATTACTAAGTAGAGTTGCCGTAAGAATTTTGACTGCTCCTTGCACTTCGGCTGCCACTGAAAGTACATTTAGCACACATGCACACATACATAGCCATAAAAGAAATAGATTAACGACGGACAGGGCAGCAAAAGTTGCATATATTTCCTATAATTAGAATCTTCTTCATAAACAAAAAGATGAAGACAATGACGAAGAAGACGAACCCTTATCTTCTCCTAAAGAATTATCGAGTCCAATTCATGAAGAACAACCTTCTACATCAAGTGGAAACCAAAACGATATAGAATTTTGCGACGTGTTTCGTATATATTGTTCGTCATTAATATGTTACACTTAATATGGAAAAAATGTACATTTCTTTTGTTGAATAATCATATTTAAACTATTGGCTTTGTTTTATTTCCTGGGTTTTATCTTAATAATAAATAATGAAGGTATCGTTTTAAATATTACATTTGTTCACAAGAATGTTAAAATTAATAAAAGGTGTGCCATTTATTGTAAAAAACGAAAATACCCACCTTTTGGGTATTTACCCTTCGCCCATCTCTAGTCTCAGGTACTGATCTTTTATTTATAGCCTTTAGCTTTTCATTTCATCTCAAGAATTTTTCAATTCAAACCGGTTCCTGAGATTAGCGCAATCAAACAAACGATCTCTTCAGCTTTATTTATTTATTAGGATTAGTATAGATTAGTTTCGCAAACAAGATGCCCTGTGTGACCAAAATTATTTCAATTTTAATAAACGACAATTTTATATGACATTCATATTTTAATTGGTAATCATTTAGGGCCTTATCATGTAATTATGTCAGCATTATCGTAGACAACAAAGATATGTTGTTAAGTGTTTTGAAACGAATCGTTTCTAGAATAAATAACGTAATATCTATAAAATTACACGTTCCTAGTTTCACAAACTTGTTCTTTGCGAATGGAATTTTGTGCACATCGTTTTATAAATCAGATTATCACGAGTCTACGCTAATCTATGACTTTTCTAGATATTAAAGTGCAAAGTCTAATATTTCTAATTCTTTAAGTCCATCATGTGTTTTAAGGTAGATCGTTTGTTTGGAGGATTTTTGTTTATTTGTGTGTAAAATGTGGACCAACCAACCAACGAATCGTTCTTTATTTCCCGCCATTTCTGAATAAGGTTTCTGAAACATGTTTGGCGCCGTTTAGGAAAAGTCGTGAGCCTATGTCCACAGATAAAATAAACCATGTATTAATCCGCATTTCTATTCCAAATTCAAAGGACCTGTCATCTTCATTTACCTTATTTCATCATCAATAAAGATAACCCAATCTTAAAGAACTCCTTTCTAAATTGGATCGCATTTTTAAATCAGTTACCCCCTTGAAAACTTTAATTCTGCAAGTGTGCAAAACTGGATAGATAGGTTTATATTTTATCTATACATATTGATATACTTCACAGACTGCCTCGTAACTTAGGTGACGTAAGCGACATACGTCGGCGGTTCACCTTCGAGGTAATTGAAGTCGACAACTTGTTTTTTAAATTCAGGTAATAATAATTAACTATAATTTATGGTCCACTGTATACGGTATGAATAAAAATCGCACGTTAAAAAACCACCTTTATTAATATAAATACAAAATCTAATTTACAAGAATCACGACATTACTTGTGGTATGTCAAATTATAATAAAACTATCGTTAATATCTGTACTGCTTACGCGATTGGCACAAATTAAATTCAAATAATAACCTAAAAGGTTTTTATTTATTGTTCTTATTTACAGTTTGAACTGCAAACACGACATCTCATAAACATCCAGTTGTACTAAATGCACTAATACTGGCATAGTTCTATACATATTTAAGGCTGTTTTTATTCGTACAAAATTATATGCCATGTATTGTTTTTTGATCCAGTGTATTTTATGAAAGCATGCTGTCGGTCATTGAAACAACAGCGTTCAAAGACCACATGATATATTCATTTTGCTTTTAATTTACTTGCTTTATATCCCTAGAAACCTTATATTTACATCAATAGATATCACCTTCTCCATAGCGTTATACATGGGGATTTAATGATGACGCTTTTTATTTGTCATTAGTCACTAGTTAACTGCAGTAATTAGAAAATAAACGTACCAACATTGCATAATAGATCACTGTAATTGTTATTCTTTCCATTCATTAATAATAATTATCGGCACACACAGTTCACTCGAATATATTAAATTAATTCAATATAAATTAGCAATGGCGATAGTTGAAGAATGGAAGACCTACATCATATTGCACATTTGTCTACTTATCATTTAATTAGTAATAATTTATATAATATTGAACACTGAACTAGTATACCATCACAAAGAAATTATAGTTATTTGACCGGCCATTAAATTGTATATTTTTTCGATAAATTTGTTCCTTGTGAAGTTTGGCAAAGATACGTCATTAAAAGAGGTAAATATAAGCAAGGGTAGCGGCGATACCCATCATCAAAGGCGGAGCCCAGACATCAAATAACCCACGCCACGTTAGCTCATCAGCGCTTAGTTCGGAACCCAGGGAGTTTGTAGACGCTATTACTTCTCTCCGCTCCTCGGGTACCACTTCTCCAATCCTATACTGCTCGCGCCAGGCACGTGCATCATCGCTGTGTCCTACATCGTGGAAACAACGCGACGCGTCTAGTCCAGCATTGTTCAGTAACACTTCGACACCTCCAGGGTGATCTTCAAGGAACCCACTGACATCGTATACCACATTGTCAATTATAATCGCTGCATTGTCCTTGCGATCTCGCGTACTAACCTCCTGCCGTGTGAATAGTCGTGTAGACATACTTGAGAGTTTCTCACGCGCGTGACACTCACCAGTGACCGTTCAGATGGACGTGCTTCACGGAAAGCCACGAACGTGGTACTGGTCTGACTACGCACAAATTAATAAGAAATCATTAATTCTTCTACGTATAGACCAAGGTGTCGACCCTTATGAATAATTAACTAGAACACCTTTTAAAGATTTTAGTAATTAGTTGGATTTTGTACTTATCGTCTGCATTAGATGAAATAATGGAGCTATGTCCTATTAGTTATTAATATTTTCGAGACGATTAAAATATAAAGATATATTTAACAAAAATGCCTATGGCTAACTATATTTTATATCACTGGTGGCGATGTTACAATTTTTTTGGAAATGAAATATTCAAACGTTACTGTGTCATAATTTGTAAAAGAAACAATAAGTAGCATTCTAGGAAAATGTCTCATTCTATGAAAAAACTAGTTACAAACAGGTTACAAAAGTAGAATATTGTATCATGCATATTTGAAGACTCAAGTAATTAAAAATTTAATTAACGAATTTAAAACAAAAAACCAAGCACGTAAGTTCGTTTAATAACGTTGTATGTTAATTACAAATCAATCGTCGTCGCACGAAAGTTCTTTGAAGTCATCTTTACGGTAATAACTAAAAACTTTCTTCGCTATTCGGTAGACTAACAAAATAAAAGCCCAATAACAAACTATCGGACGCGACTAACGGACACAGCTTTTAGCTGCAACTTATCTAAGTAAAAAATATATTTTAAAATAACTTTCACATGGTATGTGTGAAGCGGAAAAAAAATATGTGTAACTCATTTATTTCGCCTCTCGCACCTCGGTAAGGAAATTTGAGAAGTGATTATGGACAAAGAACGGTTGATAAAGTTGCTTGAAATGTTGAAAATTCCATTGTTTTGAACTGCTAGTTGGTTAGGCTTTGAAAAAAAAAATTGTCTATGAGGCTAGTAGGAATGTCTTATTAGAATTGATCGATAAAAATAAATTATTTGCCTTAGATCAATACAATAATAAGGTAGAAATATAGATCTTATCGTTTTTTCGTAGGACGGCAGTACTTAGATGTTCAAACTTCAAACACATTAGCCGCAGCTGACCACAGATCACAGTCAGATTGTAAATCCTCTCCAATAGGTTATTTTTGGCTTAATATATAATGAATGAGACCAGGCCATTAAATATTATTTAAAAAAAAATGAATGAGACTTGTCAATGTCAGTTGTCACAGTTCTATTCTGTTCTCTTTACTTTACTAATCTGAAGACTGAAATCATAATAATACTTAAATAGTAAATACGGTACTAAATTCGCTTCCTTCGGTGATTTATAATTTATTATAAACCATTAATAGTAATTTACACAAGGAATACTTTTAGTAAATGTAATTTATTATATTCCACTGGTTGTTTCCAGTGATCAACAACGAACAATTTTTGTTTAACGATAACATATTTTGTGCCGATCATAAATAAATAAAAAGAATTTTGTACAAAAAACGTGAATACAGAAAGTATTTTTAGGATAAGCTTAGGTTGGCAAGGAATTATTTGTTCAATTGTCTACTTATTAAATATCCAGTGCATAAAGTATTTGGTTATGTTATAAGTCTAAAAAGTAAGAATTAAAACCAAGTCTATCCACTAATGTTGAAACTGAACTCTTAAACGTTTTCAATTTGCAGAAATGAAATTGGTAAGTTCTCAATAAAATTACTGTAATCTATTATAGTTGTATTTTCATAACTACAATGAAAGTTATATATATTATGTACTTATATTGTTGTTTTAGTATTGTCTGAGCAGTGATGCGGCGAAACCATGTTTTGTCCTGTCGTTCAAGGAGCTGCTTATTATGTTGGACTGTGGTCTATCAGCTCACTCAGTGCTAAACTTCTTACCCCTGCCGCCAGTGCCTAGCACACGTCTCACCTCTCTACCTACATATACACCACCACACATTAATGATCCTTTACTTGAAGGGGTAATGATTCCTTTGTTAAACAGTACTAATACAATTTTAGAAACTTTATTTCTGGTAAAACTTCTGTTTTCTATGTTAACATAGTTTACAGAGGCAAGTTTGAATGAAATAGCTGCAGTAATAAAACAAAGAAAGAGAAATATTATATTGAAATAAAGAACTTCAATACTACTTTCTGTCTACTTTGAATTTAAAAATTTCAGGAGCTGAAAGAATGCTGTGGTCGTGTCTTTGTAGATAGTGTACCTGAGTTCTGTCCTCCGTTGGACAAAGTGGTAGACTTTTCACAACTTGATGTCATTCTAATCTCCAACTATACATGTATGATGGCTTTGCCATTCATCACAGAAGATACAGGATTTAAAGGCCAGGTTTATGCTACAGAGCCAACTTTGCAAATAGGAAGGTTTGTTATCATGAATTCTTATTTATTACTTACATATATCGCACCCCTAGATGAAAACTCCGGCAATTCAAAAAAACGTTTTTTTCAGAACTTACTAAAAACTGTTTTCGGAGTATTTACTAAAGATATCGAGTATACTAATAATTATTATGATAGGTAAAGTTCTAGAGCCTTTTTAATGACCTACTTTTTAATGCTATTGTCACAAAATTTTTGTAAATAAATAAATAAATAAATAATAAATAAATAAAAGTTAAAAAAAAACTCATTTTTTTAGTTAGTTGTGTTTTCTTTAGGTAATATGAAATTTTCGGCGGAATTTTTTTCTTTAATTTTTTTTGAATTTTTTTTTCAACGCTCGAAGTTAGCGTTACTATGTGACTGTGACTATTACCTGTTTTTACAGATTTTACTTGGAAGAGCTATCTGAATGGGTCTGTGCAGTGGGTGAAGGGGCTGGTGAAGCGCGTCGATGGAAAGAATTAGTGCACTTACTTCCTCCACCGCTTTCGCAGGCTGTAAGACCTAGGGCCTGGCGACGTCTGTTTTCTGCAGCCGCACTTGCTCGATCATTAGCACGAGTGCGCGTCGTCGGCTACGATGAGCGGGTTGATCTGTATGGCGCTCTTGACGCCACGCCTGTCTCCTCTGGCTTTTGTCTTGGTTCAGCCAACTGGGTACTACGATCGGCACACGAAAAGGTTGCTTATGTTAGCGGATCTAGCACGCTCACAACCCACCCGAGACCTATTAATCAGAGCGCCTTACGCGGTGCTGATCTACTTATTCTTGCCGCATTGACACAAACGCCGGCACACAACCCAGACCATATGTTAGGTGATTTATGCGTACATGCTACGTTAACTTTACGAGCGGGCGGTTGTGTGCTATGCCCAGTATATCCGAGCGGTGTACTTTACGATTTGTTGGAATGCCTTTCGGCGCATTTAGAGGGCGCTGGGTTGGCCCAAGTTCCGTTGTACGTCGTATCACCCGTAGCCGATTCTTCCCTAGCTTACAGCAATATCCTGGCAGAGTGGGTGTCTGCTGGTAAACAGGCCCGTGTTTTGCTGCCAGAAGAACCGTTCCCTCACGCAGCTTTGGGTCGAGCTGGGCGATTGCGACAGGCTAGGGCTCTTCACGAGCTTCCTACTAGTGCTCCAGCAGAATTTCGTCAACCCTGCGTCGTCTTCTGCGGTCACCCGAGTCTACGATTCGGCGCTGCTGTGCACCTGTTAGATCTTTGGGCCTCGAACCCAGCACATGCAGTCATTTTTACAGGTAATTGTTATTATTTAATAGTTCTTTAGGTAATGTTTTTTGCTATACACTTACATTCTGAAAATAATGTCATAAAATTTTAACATGAGTTATATTTTTATCACTGAATGATTTCTATGTTACACCTTGTAATTATCATCTTGTAATTAAGCATCTATTATTTATTTATTTACTTGTTAAAATACAAATTTACAAGCTAGGTCGAAGCCGATTTGTATTTAAAATCGAACAGAGTATTTATAACCAATTATAATTCTGAATTTCTTGCGTAAATAAATGTCTTAAACCCAAATATAGTTTCACATAAATTAGCACTTCATAAATGTAAAGAAATAATAAAATATATTTGTGAATTTACAGAGCCAGATTTTCCGTACATGGAAGCCCTCGCTCCATTCCAGCCGCTCAGTATGAAGGCATTCCACTGTCCTATTGACACATCACTTAACTACTCGCAAGCGAACAAGCTGGTACGGGAACTACGCCCCCGTGAGCTAGCTCTTCCTGACCAATACGCTCTTCCCGCCGGAACAGGGGCAGGAGCTGGAGTGGCATCTCGGCCACACATCAGCGTCGACGTACCCACGGTGATCGTGAAGCGAGGTGCGGCACGGGCAGCTGGCGTGCGACGTCGTGCAGCTCGCGGTACATTGTGTGGGGCACTAGCTGCAAGTGCTTTGCCCCGGGAAGTAGCTGGTGCGGCGGGCGGGCTTCGCGCGGCACCATTAGCCGCAGAACTGCGAATCCGTGATGCTCGTCTCGAACTACTTCCACCACCTGCACCCGCGCGTGCTGCTAGATTACATTGGAGTGCACTTGATGTAGAAGCCCTGGTCCGGGCATTAGCTAGGGAAGGAGTTGGTTCAGCGCGTGTAGAAGCGAGCGAGGCAAGTGGGTCTGATTCGAGTGGGGCGGGGGGATGCATAGTACATCTACCACGACATGATACCCTTGTGCACGTGGAACGAAATGCTACGCATGTATTCTGCGAGGGTCGCGCTGAAGTACGTCAGGCGTTGCGACGTGCTCTCGCCGCTTGCTTACCACACATATAGACAGTATTATCAAATCGAGAATACAATTTGAAGTTCGCTGGTTACTGAAAAAGTTATGGACTATGCGGTTATGTTATGAGATTTACGGAATAATGCAGCATTGTTACCTAAGATTGAAGAAATACTGTCTATTTAGAAGTATTAATCACTCTCACTCTAAATATAATCTCATTCTTTTGTACATGTAATAAATAAAAATGTATTTTACAAGGACATATTTTTTTTATCTATGCTAATATATAAAGCTGAAGAGTTTGTTTGCTTGTTTGAACGCGCTAATCTCAGGAACTACTGGTTTGAATTGAAAAATCTTGATTAATAGGAATAAAATAGAATAGGCAGGAAATGTGAAAAAAACGAGGGAAAATTTTCATCTCTGTGGGTTTCCGTTGCGTACTTTTCGAAAGCGGTTCAAGAAACCCAAAAAATATGTATGAAAGAATGGAATGATATGTGAATGACAGTCTATCGTTGAAGATTTACTTGCAAGAACGACGGGACGCTACCGATGCCGTGGGCAGTTTAAATTTATAAAGATAAAGAGGTTTGCAAAAACAACTTTGGATGCCCAAAATAACTATTCTAAAGAGACCCAATTGAAAAGTTATGTGATATTACCTAAAAATAAAATAGATTCTGTACGAAAACACAAATAGAATAAATACAGCATTTATTTTTAATATAGATTTTAACACTTACAACTGTACACAATATCTCAATAAATTAGCGCCAAAGCGATACCTGGCTTTTTTATTTACGTTTTTCGTCTTTGTAAGATACGAAACCAATACAAAAGTCACGAAAAATAAGATATACATTTAAAAAAAACATGTATTGTGCAACGCAGTTCAACGACCAAGCCTAACACAAGTAAAATTTTCCTTTTTACAAAATTCAAAACAATATATATATGTATAACCGCCAATAAACTATACATGTGATATTAAAATTGAAGTCCAACCGAGATCCTATTATGTATATAGTAAAGACCTTACTTCGAAGCACTAACTACTGATACGGACAGAGATATTGATAGAAATTGTAGTTTTAAGTTTTAATACTTTAATAAATTACAGTACATTTTTGATGTTAATTTTAAGTGGTTTTATAAACTAGTAAACGACAGAAAACACTTCTAAAATTTAGTAATAAAAATCTCATTAAAACATTAATTTACATGATATCTCGAAGCATTAGAGCAAACAGTAGATTACTACTTGGAAGTTTTATAATTTTAAAGGCATATGGAGTCACGCCACATGATGTAAATACACAGATAATAGATTCAAACTAGTTTTAATACAGTCGTGCTTATATTGTGGTAGTATGATCCTATATTACATATTTCGACGATCTAAACTAAAAGTATAGTGTGAAAATTGAACATTAGAATGATCATAGTGATGGACGTACATATCGAGACATCTTGCAGTAAATGTTGGATTATGTTTAAATTTCTCCATGTATAGGTCGCGGCACGGATGTTTTGCACTGAACGAAATGTAGAGGGGATAGTTGCGCATCTGTACAATCGCGCACGTAAGTGATTGGAAAACGTTACTGTACTAGAGGAGCAAGCGGAGCGTCGTATTGGAAAGGCAACACGATTGGGGAACCAATCAACGCTAGCGCACATGACGTTCACTCGCCCTAACCCGCTTTCGTCCCTTCGATACCTTATTTTTGACTTCTGCGCAGGATTCGTTACTCGCTAAAGATCTGTGCCGCTACTTACAACTCATTACAGAATAATTATCGAGCTATGTCAATGTGCCAAAAGGTATTGGGTTGGAATCCCGGCAATAAACAATTAATATTATTATTTGATGAATATATGCCTGTAATATAAAGAGGTATGAAACAGGTGCAGAAATGAGCTTGTTCTGGCCATTATTAGGTGGCAGGATTTTACTACAATTTATAAGTATTAGAATTCAATTAGCTCAAGATTTTTAGTAGTTCTAATTTGAAGACACAAGTCTTTATAATTAAAACCTAAGAAAACGAACAATAATATTTAAACACATATAAATTTTTAAAGGAATAAAGCATAAAGTATCCATAAATATTGAAAATTTTCTCGTAATACATCAAACAAATAAATCTCTTTACATAAATACTATTGTTTGGTGTAAATATAAATAATGTAAGACTAGGATAAAAAGCTTCACAGTGTAAAGCGCACTTTACGGATACAAATAAATAGTAAGGTTGAAATTAACCTCATTTATTTCTGTATGTGATCTGACAACGTGTGAAAAAGTCTACCGTTCAGCGCAGTCGCAGCTACTTTACAGAATCGACGTAAAACATCAATCGCGTATTGGGTTTAGATTCTTAGTCACATCTACGCGCTGTCACAACTAGCAGTTAAGGTCGATATCGGCGAAGAGTTCCCCGCGCGTCGCCACAGTGATAGCGTAGTGGGCGTGGAGCTGGTGCAGCAACTCGCGCTCATCTAGCATTTCAATAGCCTCAACTCGTGCTCGATCTTCCTCGGGCAAAGCGCGCCACACCGCACGCATGTCCCAGCAACGAGCTGTTTCGAAACCTGCTGCGAGCATCCTCTGCGCTTGAGCCTCGGGCTTACCGCACTGCCTTGCCCCTGCTAGGCTGCAGCCGCGAAGATTTAAGTTGCGCACCATCACCTAGAACGTTATAAATAGAACTTGAGGATTATAGTATTATATGTGATAAAAGTATGAAAAATTTGGATTACTACAATTGTGTTGGAAAAAGGTGTAGGCTTTTCTTTTATTTTTCTGAGTTTTTTTAAAACTAAGAAAACATTAAGTAGTCTAAGTATATAGTAGCGATATTTAAATATCGGCCTGAATAAGTAAGTGTGATTCCAAACACTTTTTTTTGAAATATTCAAATATTATCAGAATAATATTAATTAGGGTGACTCCATATCGCGCGACTTCGCGTTATTGTTGTTTTATAATAGCAAACACATTCCCAAAATTCCCAAAAGAATACAAACCTCTCCAAACTTGTCATCCAGGTTACATTGCTCATACAAAAGCAGTAGAAGTCGCGGGAACGAAGAAGCGAGGTGTGCCAGTAATGCGTCAGCAGCGTCTGGACGCAAATACACCAGCACACATTCGGCTAATACCAGAGTTGGTGAATCAGTGTTAACACCTGCCGCGGCCAATTTACGTGCGGTCTCCGGAACATTTGACAAATCACATCCAACAAGATGATACCCGTCAGCATGCAAATCTCCAGAACGTAAGACTATTTCACCATCTAGATTTATAAGATACATTTTGAACATAATAGATGCCTTTTAATAAAATTTATTTATTTTAACACTATTCACTATTCAGTTATAGTCCAAAATGGAATTATTGGCAATTGGAAGTATACAAATATAAAGCCTTAACATGATAGTATGAAGTGCATTGTTGATAGCTGTAAATGTGTAAGAACCTGCTTTTAAAACTTAGTGGGAAACAGAGAGTTTTTATTAACATGCATGGCTATAACATAATTAAAAGAACATACCTTATAATTTCAAAATCTAAAATAAATTGAAAAAAGTTCAACTCGGACAGGAATTGAACGGGCATTGTCAGCGTTCCGTGCTGTTCCTCTACCAATTGAGCTACCGAGTCTTAACGAGTCCTCCGCGAGTCGCCAGCTCAATCGGTAGAGCAACAACATGGAAAGCTGATGATGCCAGTTTAAGTCCTGTCTGATTCAAAAATTTATTAAATTTATTTTTGATTTCTAATTATCTAGTGCCTTCATGTGCATAACATGTAAAAAGTAATAAAGTTTTCAGAACATACCTTCATTGCAAATTTTTTCTAACAGTTGCTTATTACGTTTAATGGTATGACATTTCTTGCTAATCACAGAAGGGAAATCCAGTTCCACAAAGTTACTAACTGCCTGTGTGGTGTCTTTCAACCGCCAGTAGAGTGTATCATAGCCACAGCCCAAGTTTATTATCTGGCATTTAGTACCACACCTCTGAAAACAATTTAATCGGTATAAACAGTATTCCGGGAATCAGTTGTGTATAAAGAAATAATATTCGAGTAAAATGAAAATAAAAGTAATATTAACCTCCAGGAACTGATGGATAAACATTTCTATTGCTTTCACTCGGGCATAGTAGCCGCGATTAATTTCAGGTGCTTTTCTGTCAACATGTTTCGCGAAATAGGTAATATATTCGTCTTTCCAATACCCCAGTTCCACGGCACATCTCTTACATTCTGTTGCATCAGTATTGGTCGCAATAACTGCTTCGTCCTCCACACTCCAGGATATTATGTTATTCATTGTGAAAAATTTAGGGAACACACAATTAATAGATTTAATCAACCATTACTATTGCCAAGTTGTTTCAAATCACTAATGTTTTGTTATGATGATGATAATAATTCATTCGTTAAATACGTAACACAGCACTGGTAAAAAGGTATTTATTAATAACTATGTTTTAATGTATAGGGAATAAAGTCAAATATGGTTTTTAAGTATATTTAACAATTTAAGTAAAAGAAACAGAAATACGATTAATGCCGAGAAATCAGCAAACACATGACGTATGAAAATGAACTAAGAACTAACTATGACATTGACGTTATTAATATACTAAATGTAAGTAGGTAGTGGTATATAAAATTATTTCTTATTGCGACAGCAACGTTTATTTGAAAAATGTTACAATAATTCGAAACATTACCCATATCAATATAATATGTTTAATTTTAATACGACTAGGTAACAGGTAAACAAAAAAAGATTACAAAATCGTTTTAGTTTAATATTTTAGACATTCACAGAAAATGTAGGAAGAAAAGATGAATTCTTCTTCTTTTTATTGCAATAGGCAATCCTTGGATATGTGACAATTTGACAAGACGTGTCATTCTATACTTCCAAAGTATACTTGATTCTATCTTTAATGACATGAAGAAAATAATAACAAATCCAATGGTTTATTGTAGTTGTAGTACGTATTTTTATTACCTCCGTGAGAATAATATAGTAAGGAACGTATATATCTAAACTCCGCTACTAATGAAAACGTTGAACGTAGTATCTTTCTAATATGCTGAATATTGAATGTTTACCAATACTTGTGGTGAGTGCCTGTGACAATTCTAGGGCTACTAAAATTGTGTCTGGTAAGCATATTACCTATATGATTAAATTTGCTTTTCTACTTACAATTAATTTGATAATTATGAAAATATTAAAATTCAGTTTGCTTGGAAGTGCAAATATGTGACAAAGTGTAGGTAACAGCAAGTTAATTTAGTAAGTACACTTTAAATCTGTATATAGATGTGGTGCAACAGGATATATCTCAAAATAATACAGAGAGTGGAGAGTATTGTACATGGAATATAGAGAATAAGTACTACAATGCAAAGGTATCAATTCATGCACTGCTAGATGAACAGACACCACCGTTACATCTTACTCCTACAGTGGAAGCTCATCTTATTTATTTAGAAGCTGATGAGGTAATAAATTATCTATGAATTTAGATTTTACAGTACACTTTTGAGTAACAAGGTTTGTCCATCACACAGGGTAAAGAAGTAGCGGAAAGACGCCTGCATTTAAGCTGGGACCTGGTAGCTAATGCGCAGGTGCGACTTATTCTCAAAGATGGATCAGAGAGTGAGGCCCTAGTTGACTGGGCACTGCGTCATCACTATGAGCTAGTCACATTTGCGTCTCCTACAGAGGATTTTGATGATGAAGAAGAAGACAGTTATGGCTATCAACGCGTGCGCTCTGCCCTGCATGCCCACACTTGGCACGGGCTTGTTCGCATAGATGGACTAGATTTGCCTGCATCAATAACCAGTATGTATTAACAATTAAATTATAAAGTATATATAAGTGCTTTCATAATTAATCATTTCCATTGATAAGTTTTGTTTTTTTTTTACTACTCCCTTAATCCCCACAGACAGACCCACTTACAAAGCACCTCTCACACAATTACAACCTTAAACCTTGCTTATTAAGTTTTAATACCTTATCCTTTGCAGTTTAAGAAAGTCATGCAATCAAACTTAATATTTAGTTAACCAAGTGTTTGATTAATAACATTAAATAAACCACACCAGTTCATATGCCATTGGGCATTAATATTTATTTCATCAGGGCTCACTGAATATTCAGTATACTGCCAAATATACCATTCCTTGCAAACCTAGTTTAAATTGCTTTCAATAAATTATTTTTCAGATGGTAATTCTGAAAATGATGTGATTAGCTCAGATTCCGATGAAAGCTGCAACTCTTGGGGCTCTTGGGAACAATGGAGCGGCGAACGCGAAGCCACCTTTGCAAACATGCTTGGATCACTGCAAACAGACCGTAATGCTCTGAATTCGTTAGCGGATAACGAACGACGGCGCCAAGCAGAGCTGCTGCTAAAAGCTTTTCGATCTGCACTTCGTCCGTCTGAATCCTCCGACCCCAACAACACCTAATTACAGGATAAATATTATAGACTTATCATCTGATAAACGCCATTGTTTCTGGGTAATATGGCTGAAGCAAAGGCATATATTGCGAAATAATTTATTTTAATCTTTAATTTACCATAAAATTGAAGAACCATTGTTTTGCCTTATAGCTTCATGTTATCATAATTAATTGATTGAATAAAGTAGATATAAATACTGTCTGTAGTTTACGCGAATAGTACACATTGAAATAAAACACTAACGGTTTAAAACGGTTTCGGATGCAGCAGCTTTTTAACTACAGACCTTAGCGAAAAAGAATTCTCAAACAACTTTAACTAAAATATACCGCGCTTTATAATATTTTTCTTTAAAAAAATTAAATATTTAAAAGAAATGACTACTTTTCTTTCACAAATGATTATTCTACGGGTTTTCTTATACCCTAGATCAATTCATCATATATTTCAGTCAAAATATTATAAAATTAAAATTATCTCCTGACTCTTTGCCTTAAGTTTGTAAAGGCGCTAAAGTCTGTGCTTGCTCAGCTATTGGCTAAAAATATGGAAAAATTATCTAAATTGCTTCTTTTACTCAGTCGAATAGAAACAAATGATATTAATATAAAGATAGAGAGATATTTCGATGTAAATACAAGTTTATTATTTCCACTTAACGTTGATTAATTTTTATCGAAATTAGCTATAACTGATTCCTGAATTGGTTTTCCTCCTGCTATCATTTAAGCGTGATAAGAAATGATATCCGGTGAAATTATTATTTTTAATAATAGAAGGACAGACAAATATGAGGTGCATTTGATATAACATGAAATATTACTGGCATATAACATCTGATATGATGTCGACCTATTTTGACATTCAACTTCACAGTCCCCGGTGCTTCATGGCTCGGACGGAATTTCGATATACCTAAAACCCATTTAATATACTGATTTCCAGAGGAAGATTTATTTATTGATAAAATAGGGTGAGGATCGTAACCACGACCTACCGCTTATTAGCAATAATTTGAAACCATTAGGCCAACAAATCCGTCAAGAACATTTCATTGTTATAAGGCCGAATGATCCTGGATTCGAACATTCAGAAAACATCTTTATTTTATTGTGGTCACAAGCAATGGCCATTTTGGGTCATTATAAAATGACGGAGGGGAAAAAGTATTATTGATAATAAAACACTACATATTATTCGATCAACAATTTATATATAAAAAATACATGTAAAGATATGTGCGTGGCGACCAGCCGTGCTATTAAATCACAGATATTTGATTATTATTATTATCTCTTTGGACGCAATTTTGTATACACAATCGTATGTACTTAGCACAGATGACGAAGGTATATTTTGATAAGGCATAGCTAATGCTGATAAAAACGGCAACACGTGGATGATACGGATAAGGCAAAGCCGCTCGCATATTTTTTTTGATCACAGCGCCTCATTCATAATCCTATATACCCCGGGATTTGAATAATGGACTGAAGATTGCGTATAAACATTGAGCCATGCGGACATTAGTTTATACGAATTTATAGTTAAGCCACTAAGGTATGTAAATACCTATGTGCATGTATATGAATGGTAGATTAATAATGATATTTTACAACCGTTGTTTCCGTTTTATGTACGGTAAAGTTACAAATAAGATTGTATAATTGATTGAGTTTTAGCAGCATTAATCGTCTTAGTGTAATTACAAAAAAATATTACTAATTGCTAAGGCTTTCACGGCCATCGTTCAGCGTATCATTGTTTTTCGGGCCGACGTGAGAGAGAAGAGGTTATCGACGTTTCGCCATCACGAGCGGTCAACATGTTGTTAGATCTTCGATCCCGAAAAACAATGATACTTTTAATTCCATTTTCAATTAAACAAACAACATTTTAAAATAATTTTAAACTAAATAGAATAAATAAATCTGTGACGAACATATAAGCAAAACAAAACGTCTCTAAATTCACTTTTACATACGTAACTATCGTAATATTAACACAAATGCAGAAGTTGTATTATACAAACAAATAATACTGGGAACTAATGATAATCGTATACTTGTAGTTTACGTTAACGTTGTTCGCAAGCACGACGAGTGAAAATTATGATGAATAAATTTTCTAATACTGTGTTTTTAAATAATAGATAAATTTATAACAAGTTTAGGTATTCTGACATAACAATTTGGTTACTAGTAATAATCAACAGTAACAGTGTCATTTGTATAATAAATGTCTTTAATCTAATTTTAATGTTTCCAAATTAATTAGTTTCAACCATCAATAAAATATATGACATTTTCTATTTAACATACTTTAACATTTAAGTTTATTAATTCAATCATACATAAAAACTTTATTATATTTTGTTATCACTTGTAATAAATAAGTTAATTCTAAAATCGCGACAGTAAATTCATATTATTGTAATGCAGGCGTGTTTTGTGTATTATATATTATTAATAATTGTTATTGTTATCTATACTAATATTAGAAAGCTAAAGAATTTGTTTGAACGCGCTAATCTTAAGAATTACTGGTTCCTATGAAAAAAATAATTGACGGCTGCTGATCCGCAATGCGGTAAAACTTGATAAGCAATATTACATAAATATCATTAGAAATTTAGATATGAAATAATTGTTAACATTAGCGTGCACTTTTGGAAAGCATCTTATATTAAATTCAGCTGCAAGTATTAGTACCCCTTAACTCTAGACTTATTTAGTGTAGAAATGTATAAATGTGTAGGTCAGTGGCAACATGTAGCTGATAATATGCATTACCTGATAAAATTATGAATATTGTATAAATATATACCTATTGGATGCACAGCCCTTAATAAGTCATGTTATCTAATTGTTAGTCTCAGTGGGTGGCTAATTTTAAAGTATTGGAACTACTGAGTAACGCCGAGAAATACTGCACAACCACACGAGATAAATATTGTGACAGAGGCTCGCGAGTAGGCCACCAGCCTTCCATGAATCCTATATGACCACCGCGAGCTGGTACAGCGATCGCCAACAACGAGTGCTCTTTTGCATCTGCACATGGTAAAGCTGCCAAGGGTTGGAATGGGTCGTCCGCTGCACATAAACATAATACAGGAATGCGCACATTCCTTAGCTTGCCTCGTAAAGTCGCTGCACGGTAGTAATGGTCGACTGATTCGAAACCAAAGTGTTTAGCCGTAAAGGCTGCGTCAAATGCACGTACAGAACGACTAGCTTCAACAGCTTCACTCTCAACTGTTAGAGTTGAGTGTGCACGTACAGTACGCCGTAGACTGCACGCCATATGCCATGACAAAAGGGCATTAAGTGGACGTTGCTCCATGCATTCAGACGCACGTTCCACATCCAATGGTGCTGATATGATCAATGCAGCATACAAACTTGCCTGATTACCCCGTGTTGCAAGGTAATGGCCAAGAATAAGCCCACCAAGTGAGATACCTACTGCCACCACTCTTCCTCCCTTTGCTCTTTTCTTAACTGCATCCACTGCCTCTGCTAAATCTTCATGTGACAAGGCACAGTAAAGTTTGGGTGTCTGTAACACAGATTTTTTATACAACACACAGTAAAACCAAAACCCATTTAACAAAGAATAAATAAACTTACAGTAAGTGGTAGGCCACCAAGCCCCCTATTGTTAAAGACAACACAGCGAGCACCAAGATGTCTGGCAGCAGCTGCTACACACCGCACATAGTCTGCGTGTGCACCCCCCGTTAACCCTGGTATAACCATGATTATTTCCCCAGGTTCATTATCTTCAACCACTTTATCATCCATCCAATCCAGTGCTACCTGACCTCCATCAGCAAGTGGTAAAATTTCTCTGAAATACAAATAATGTTATATGTTTAGTCAAATCAAAGTAGGTACTTAGTTGATAAGCAGTTAGGAATAAATAATGAAACCTTGAACTTGAATAAAACCAATTTACCGGGTATATGTTAGTGAAGGTAGTATCCATGAGCGCAATAAAGATGCTACCACTGTCTGCAAACGTGATTCTATGCACCACGGCGTAGGCCAGAAGGCCTCATTTAGAACAGGTACTTTTTCTTCCAAGAGTTGACGAAATTCTCCTTTACCACATATTAAGAGTGGTTTCTAAAATACAAATGTTTAGAAGAATTATAATGTAGTTATAGTATGTATTAAGTTGATGTATAGAAAAATAAAAAAATGAATTAGAAAAAAATAACATGAACAACTCATATTATGTAAATACTAATTGAACAAAAAATATCTTTACAAATGTGTTACGTAAAATACTAAATAATGACTATTACAGTGAATATTAATAAAAACTTTGGGAAATGTAACTACACCAAATTTGATAGCTTATAAATTAGTTCTACCTTGACGACTTCCAGGAAATAGTAGGTAACATAGAGGACCGACAGAGATAAACAGACGATCAGTTCCTTTTTAAATTCATACATGTAAAAAAGTGTCCTTAACATTGTAAATTTCTTATAATTACCGATCCAAGTGTGGTTTATAAATAGTAGCTCTTTATTTATTAAATAATAAATTATAAATACATATCACATAATATAATCACAATATGAGCAAGAATCTCTAAGTGACATGTGAAATTTGACAGATATCGGAATGCTGCGAGCCTATATAGCATAGATAAGCCTTGATAACAGTGTCACTGAGTCATGTCAGGTATTTGTATAATAATAACATCATAGCATGGAAGAGTGAATTGTTTTACTTAAGAATTTGTACTTTTGTGGTTTGAATTATTATCAAGGATTTATTAAATAAACATACTCAGTAAAAGTAAAACGATTTTTTTGCAATACATATTTTCATAATCACAACTCGATAAAGTGTCTGTTAAGAAAGAAATTCTAAATTAATTCGCAATACTTCGGCTGTTAAAATAGTGCCCGTACGAGAAAGTACGAACTATAAATGTGATTCATATAAAATTCATAAAAGTGTTGTTATAAAAAGACCATGTTGTCGTCGTTTAGTGTTAAGGTTAGATCTTTAGTGCCAAGCACCATTCGCTGGGCGAGCCAAGATGATAGTCCACTTCGGCGTCTCGTTCGCGATGCAAGCCTTTTCGGTGAGGGTAAAGAAGAGGAAGGTGAGCTGGCCTGGGCAACGCAGCCATATGCGGTTTCCACTTCACAAGAACCAACTTCTCGAACTGATCCAAAGGACACAACAGTGCTATTGTTTCCAGGACAGGGCTCGCAACATATTGGCATGGGCAAATGTTTAGATCAAGTGCCTGCTGCCATGGAATTATATGAATTTGCTTCTTCTGTAGTAGGGTAGTACTAATTTCTTTTAAATAATAGATAATATTATTACTTAAAATGATGATGACACTGAAAATGAGCAGTTAATAGCTAAATTACAGGATGGGATTAACCATCTCTGTGTTATAAAATATGACATATTTATGAAGCTTTGAATTTTATAGCAAATTTATTGTTTAAAAAAAAGTTGTTTAGTCCTTTTTATAACACAATACAGGTGGGATGTTGCAAAATTGTGCCGATATGGCCCAGAAGAGAAATTATCAAAGCATTGTCAGATAGCCGTTCTAGTAACTTCTCTGGGCGCACTCGAGTTAGCCCGTGAAAGACGACGCGGTGCAGTGGAGCGCGTGCGTGCAGCAGCCGGTTTCTCCCTAGGAGAGATCACAGCTCTTGTGTTTGGTGGCGCTTTACCATTTGAACGCGCGCTACGATTAGTAGAAGTAAGAGAAACAGCTATGCAAGCAGCTGCAAAGGCTCGGCCTGGTGGTATGCTCACTGTCTGGTTGGCACCCGAAGCTAAAGTACCTGCTTTACTGCGCGCCGCTCGTGATCAGGCAACTTCACCACATTTGCCTAATCCCGTTTGTGAGGTTGCAAACTACCTTTACCCTGGTTGCAAGGTTCTTGCCGGAGATGAAGAGGTATATCTTATTATTTTGTTTTAAACATGCCTTAGTTCCATGATTTTACTTAGTTTATGTTTTAAAAGTACTCCAGTCACCATAAAAATTTGATTGAAATTTAGATCACTTAGAAAAGCTAGAATATACAATTATAATTAATTGATCTTTTAAATCTAGTTGTTGTTGCTAAAAAAAGTAAAAATAACACTTCAGGATATACTATTTTACAAAATTATAATTCTATTATTACTAAAATATTTTATTAGTCATGATGAAACATAAGATTTATCCTTACAGGCATTGAAATGGGTGGAGAGAGAGGGACGCTCTTGGGGCGTGCGTCGGGCAGCACGTATTCGCGTGTCCGGCGCGTTCCATACGATTTTAATGGCACAGGCAGAAGCGGCAGTACGGGAGGCACTTAGCCACTGTGAGTTGAGCACACCACGAGTACCAGTCGTGTCTTGTGTTGACGCCCGAACTGTTACAAATGCAAGCGCCGCCCGACGACGTCTTGAAAGACTTACAGCAGCACCTGTGCGTTGGGAGCAAGTCCTCCATGCTCTTTACGCGCGTCCAGCTGATACACCTCAGCCGTACACTCTCACCTTAGGGCCGGGGAACGCTTTACGTTCTACGCTTAAGCAAGTTAATGCGCGAGCGTGGGACGCTTCGACACACATAGATGTTTAGTCACTTGGATTTAACTAACACACTAAAATTACCTATAAATTAAATGTACAAAATATGTGTATAAATATATAGATTTTTACGCTTATACAATTTTTTTCCTTCATACGTCATTAAAAAACAACTAGTGATATTATAAAGTCTTCGATGCGCGTGTGTCGAGAGGGGTGCGCGAGATTTGACCACCACTTGTAATGATATCTTTGCCAATAGTTGTGAGGCGCGAATGGTGGACGAGGGTGCGTGGCGCAAGAAGATCAGAAAGGCTCGCCATTCGGTTCGAGGCCTCCTCTACCCAAGCTTCGGTGATTCGTAACTCGTGCGCAGCGGAAGGTAGGCCCATACGCACTGCCCGAGTGGAACGAGAAAGAACAGCTACACTGGACGTAGCATCAATAGCGGCACCGGCGAGTCTATTTAGAAGCTGTTGCTCGTCCACGATTCCACGACCATATTGACGTAAACAGCTTTCGACGACCATCCCGAGAGTGACCACACAGCGGGCGAGATTGCGTGCGACGGGTCGCAACTCGGGCGCAATGTGTTCGTCGATATCTGGCGATCTGTGTAGACCCACTGCGCGGGTAGCACGGCGTCCCGCTTCGCTGAATATGAGGCCTAGGTTTGCAGTGGGGTTTTTAAAGGCGCGTTGGAGCTCTTGAAGGTGCGACCCAGCGAACTGAATACCCGTAAGGGCTACAAACAGGCGTAGGATATCGTTGGTACCTTCAAAGATGCGGAAAATACGTAAGTCACGTAAAACTCGTTCTAGTCCCGTGGAAGTCATGAAGCCCATTCCGCCCAGAATTTGAATGGCCTCATCGACCACATACCACGCGGAATCAGATGCAAACACTTTAGAGATTGCTGCCTGAAACATGATTTTATTGCGTTGTAATTCACATTGATTTTAATGTCGTTTTCAAGGAAACATTAAATAATAATGATTTTAATCTAAAGTAATATCTAAATACATTATAAGTTATACACAATAATGTAATGTGTAAAAAATGTTGTAATGTGTAAAAAATATGAAAATATTATTAGTAGAAAAACCTAATAATAGTAATTTTGTTAAAATTATACGATGCTGGTATTTACCTCAAGGTGATATTCCTGCTTGCCAGCATCCATAGTGCCACTGATAAGATAGGCCATGGATTCAGTAACATACTGTAACATTGCCATACGAGCCAGCTTTTCTTGTATACTGGTGAAATCAGCTAGGCGCTTGCCAAATTGAGTGCGTGTTGCAGCGTGCTCGGCCGCTTGCCGTATTGCAACGCGCTGTGTGCCCGATAGTGTAGCTGCCATTCCAAAACGGCCATTGTTAAGAATATTCATAGCGACCTTAAAACCTTCTCCAACACCTCCCAGCACATTCTCTATAGGAATGCGCACATCTTCAAAATACACCTCAGCTGTGTTTGAACACCGGATACCCATTTTGTGCTCGGGAGGGCCAGACGTCACACCACCAAAGGATCTTTCTACAATGAAAGCAGTGACCTTATTCACAGTCTTGCCATCTTTCTCGATGGGCGTCTGCGCGAACACAGTCATTATCTCTGCGATACCGCCATTACTTATCCAAATTTTAGATCCATTGAGTATGTAATGCTTTCCATCTGGTGACAGAACTGCTCGGCTCCTGTTATGCAAATTAAATAATGCTCATTATTCAATATATAGATCAAAACTATTGTTATTATAATTTTTAAATAAACAACACTTACTGAATAGAGCCGGCGTCTGAGCCAGAAGAGGGCTCAGTAAGACAGAATGCTGCAAATTCTCCACTGGTTACACGAGGCAAATAATGCGCACGCTGTTTAGGGGTGCCAAATAGCAAGATGCCCTTAAACCCAATAGATTGGTGAGCACCTAGTGCAATTCCGACACCGAGATCGTGTGCACCCACAACTTCCGTTAGACGTGCATACTGCGAATTTGAAAGACCCAGTCCTCCATGCTCCACAGGAACTTGTAGCCCAAACGCACCAAGGTCCCATAGGCCCGACATTGTGTCCTCCTCAATTTTACAATCGGCATCATTCTTTGCAGGATTATTCACCTTAAAAATTATGATATTATAATAAGCTTGAAAGGTGAATTTAGTTAATATTCAGAAACAACTTACAACTATATCATATGATAATGTTCTGTACTAATTGTCTATTAAAAAAAATATTAATATGATGACCAAAGAATTATGGATCAAATAGATAAAGAACTTAATTCTCTGTGATACAAACAAAGCATTATATGAATTTAATAAATATGTACTTCTTCAAAAAACTTCTCCATTGGTGGTATAAGTTCGGCAAGTGTTTGGTGCTGCTCATCATTGAGTACGTCAGGATAAGGAAATATTTGTGCAGTTTCAAATTGACCACGAAAAATGTTCATGGTAAAGGAATCGCTTTGACGCGCCCCACATTGTCGTTCTGGAGCAGTTGCAGCTGCTGTAGCCAAACCATTGCTGTAACAAATAAGGACATTGGCCACTACATATCAAAGGATTAAATTCTCATGGTACTTTACATTAATTTATATTGTGCTTTACTATTCTATTATAGTCAACATCGTATTCTATTTATTATATTACTATTATTTAGAAAAATAAATTTTTAAAATCAAATTATGGAGTAAAATTGAAAGTTATAGATTACAAGACAATGTGCAATATACTGGGGCTATTCACTATACATATAGTCTATTACTACATTAGTAAAAAGTTAAAGTTCAACATTATAAAACAGTAACATTATGTTTTCACTTTTTGGGTAGGCTTACTTCAACTTATGTTTAACTTTAAATTTTATCACATTCCTAAGTAGCAAACCAACTTAATATTCTACAACAAGCTATTTAGTTTTATTAAAAAAGGTTTAAGTATGACTACAATCATATTGATATAAAAACGTGTAAATACTAATACAATAGCATTTCCTTCAAAATTAATGTTGATAAATACAACCATATGATTATTGTATATAAAAGTTTGTGACCTTAAACTTTGTACTGATGAACGATCGCCACTGATCTTTGCACTATATAAGACAGCGATCAAAGTCCAAGGTACAAACGTAAAAGACACTAATATTTCATAACAAACTTACTGTTGAGGGCGAGATAATAAAAACGGTCTACACAAATTTCTTCTCGCATATCCCACAAAGTTTGACCCTTTCATCGTAGTCGTGCGCAATAATCAAACTTTCTAATTTATTTAAAATAATTTTATTTAATTCACCACTTAAGAACGAGCGATCGATTCACAGATGTGAAATTTAAACTGACAACTATTTTATAAAAAGTAAATTACTAAAAAATATTAATATTTAAAGCTAAACTAAGAAAGTCGGCAACAGGTTGATACCTAAATTATAAATACTAACTGTATACTACCACAGAGCACAGTCTAGCATGTGGAAACTCCAGTCAAACACCCAGTATATATCTGTGGAGATAAGCGAGCCAATGCGGATGGTGACCAATGATGAATGATCGGCTAATAATATATGTATCGGTGATTATTTCTTATACGTCATGGACAAGGGTATCTCACCCGAAAGAGTATAACCACATTAACAGAATTTAACTTACATTTATTTTATTTATTAAGGTACATCATTGATCATTATTTGGAAAAACAATTTTTGAGGCAAAAATAAGCAATTGGAGCAAGTAGCAACACTAAGTATTTTTCTAGTGGTAACATAGTCCGTTTCAGATTTAAAGAATCGTGTAAATTTTATGACAGTAACATTAAACCCGAAACAGCAATATTGGGATTTCTTAAAATATAACATTTTCAAGACTACTAATATTTTACAGAGTATAGTTAATTTCACTATAATATTATCATTTCGACAATTAGTAACCTATCAAACATTAAGTTTTAATTGGTGTACATACAGTTACCACTTTTCTAAACTAAAGGAATATAATTGTAAAAGTCTTTCCTGTGGGTACATAATTACCGACGTCCTGCCGCTAATTCATTCCATAAGTTCTTTTATTCTAGTTTTGAGCTATTTTTGAAAATAAAAAGTTAAGGTAAGCATGTTTTAGCTATCACAGTTGCGTACAGAGCAGATACAGGAATTTTGATTAATTTGCTATTATCGCGAGATTAATTAGTAGATAAAAATATTTTTAAACTGTATTATACTTCGCTTTTAGAGAATGGCTCGTGGACAGCAAAAACTACAATCTCAAGCCAAAGCTGCTGAAAAACAATCTAAGTTAAAGAAACAACAAGGCCACAGCGCAACAGATCAAAAAAAAGCTGCCCAAAAAGCACTTGTACATGTATGCGTTGTATGCAAGGTATTTTTTTTACATTAATTATATATTTTTCTAAATAGGCACCTATTCAGTTGTAATATTTGTGTATATTAATTTACAGGCACAAATGCCAGATCCAAAGACATACAAGCAACACTTTGAAAACAAACATCCTAAAAATGATTTACCTGAAGATTTGAAGGCTATTTGAAAACCATTTAGGAGTGAGCTCTCTTTATGTATTTGCATTTGAATGTGAACAGAATAAACACTTTTGTATAATATTAACCAATCATTATTATTACTTGAATGGATTGTGTGACAAATTCAATTGTGATAAAGATTATTGACTAAAAAACCATTACCACTTTCAGATCTTTTATTATAACAATAAAATTAAATTACAAAACATTACATAATGATAAATTTGTGATGACAATCTTTATAAAATTAAAGAGCATGCTTACATTTTTTTTTTGTAAAGACTAAAGAATGTTTATATTGTATGGAAAACAGCTTTCTATAGTCTCTTAATACTTGGACATATTTAAAGGTTACATTTTTTCATAGATTTCAACATGTCCACAAGCACAGGTGCGTTCATAGAGATCATCTTGATCACCTTTGTGGGGACGTTCTGGCCCATATTCGTGAGTATGAGAGGCTCGTGTGCGTTCAAAAAGACTGGAGCGTACGTCCATCCGCAGGGCTCGCAGACGTCGGCGGGCTGCAGTATTAGCAGCCCGCTGGCGACGTTCGTCACGCGCTATCTTCTCCACACTTAATTGCTCTTCTGACCCCCACACTACAAGAGCGCGCTCTTCGACTTGGGCCCGCAAGTATAATCTCATTTCAGCAAAACGCGCTTTGTGAGGGTTCGGTCGACGTACACAACGTAAAGGGGGCTCCCGCAAATCCAAATCGCAGTCCTTTAACAAAAATTCACTCTTTGCCTCGGTCCGTGTAATCAGGGAATGCTTGCCCTCATCATCCCTATGTAAAGCATAATTATTTCATTTAAAATACATTGACTTAATAGTTATTTTATTATTTGATAATGCATTATTTGTATATATTATGCCTTAATGTATTTTTGCAAATCTTATCAGATTTTTCCAATAGAATTGCATTACTAGAATTTACAGCTTATTAGCTTTTATGTAGCAGTGGTTCATAAATTTAGATGTTCCTAAAATTGGTGTAACCCATACCTACACTGGTCGCAGACACTATAATCGAAGGTGTCAAAAAGATATGACTGTGGAAATGGTTTCTGACAGAGCATACAATGTGGCTGCTCAGATGAGTGTACCAAAGGTGCATGTGGTGCAACCGTATGAATCTGTCCTCTGCCTTCATCTTCATCGTCCTCAAGCAGAAAACCGCCACCGGTATCCACGAAACCTCGTGGTTTTTTAATCCTACAAGTTGAAACATATTTTTCATAAGAGTGGACAGTATACAGTACTGAAGTATTAAACTACTCATCACACCAAATTTCATTTAGTATCGATAATAAATTTCCAAAGATATATGTGTTAATATGAAATTCTTGTTCTTATTATAAAGTAAAGAACTTACTGAGTACTAGTTTGCTGTCGGGCTTCTCGCAGTTCTCGCGCACGACGTCGATTTCGCTCTACACGGTCTCGTTGCGCCTCACTTAGTTCTTTATCATTTAAACTCCCAGATTCTTCTATCCCTTCAGAGTTTTCTTTATTTTTTTCTTCGTCATGTTTCACTTCTTTTTGTAACGAAGTTTCAGACACTAGATCTTCGACCATAGTTGTGTTCTATTTATTAATACCAAAAATCGCGGGCTGAGTGCTGCATAAGTATTTATTTTACATTGCCAAGAAAACTTGCTTGTTACAGATTAATAATAAAATACATTAAAAAAATGGTAGGCAAAATACTTTTAATCTTAAGATTAATGCTCTTAAGAGCAATAAAGGTTTTTGTTAATTCGCGTAAATGTTTAACAAACTAGTTTTGTTGAGAACGTTATTTTTGCAATTATAATATTGATGATTGACCACAGGCACAGAGTATAAATTATCAAACTAATAACAATAATATCACTTGCTCCACAGTATTTTTACATTTGATTCTGTGCAATTAAATAATGTCAATGTCAAGTTTAAAATTTTATATTTTTTTCCCCTTTTCAGTATATTGTAATATCTATATCGATTCGCGATTCGTATTCTTTGAGTAAAAGCAATTGGTGTTGCGTAAAAATCTCAAGAAACCAAAATGACTTCTGTAGTGCGAGCTGGACATTTGGCTCCATATTTTAAAGCCTCATCGACTGTCCTTTCAAATGGCCTTAAGCCAGTTGTGGTCGTCGCAACGCCTGTGGATAAGCTGGTCACACAACCACTTGCCCACACCTCCACTGTCCAAACATTGCATGGATCGTTGCCGATTCAGGGATTAAAAGCTAAACATAGTACAAGAGGTAAGTAGGCATCACTCAATTATGTTTCATCTATTTCAAAGATAGTATTACATAACAAGTCTTGTCTATTTCAGCAGCGACGCAGGTGCGTTTTGCCCACTCTGATATCGCAGTTCCTGACTTCTCAGCATACCGCCGTAAAGATACATTAGACCCAACAGTCAAAGCTGAAGAACATGTTGACAACCGTAATACCTTTACATACCTTATCGCTGGAGGTAAAGTACATAGTGCCTTTGAATTCTCTTACTATACTTAATATATTTAAAGTATACTAGACTACATTTAAATCTATATGTATATGTTACAGCTGGTAGTGTGGCTGGTGCATATGCTGCAAAATCTGTGGTAACACAGTTTGTGTCATCAATGGCAGCTGCTGCTGATGTACTTGCCCTGGCTAAAATTGAGATTAAGTTAGCAGAGATCCCAGAGGGCAAGTCGGTCACTTTCAAATGGCGTGGAAAGCCACTATTCATTCGCCACAGGTATGTTAAATTATAGGTGAAAAAGAAAAAGATTTGTTTATAATTATTTTACTGCCAGCTACTATATTAAAAATCAAAGGGCAGGACTTAAAACGGTATCAGCAGCGTTCTGTGCTCTAACCAATTGACATAGTAGCAGTAGTATGACTCTGTAGCTCAATTGGTTAGAGGAATACAATGAAACGTTAACAATGCAGGTTCATGTCATGTGCAAGGTGTATTTTTTTTTTCAATTTATATATTGCCATCATATGCACATCATCATATCATATAACATGTGAAAAATATTAAAGTTTTCCAAGAGACTAAATTTTTGATGGTACTGGAATATAGGAAAATACATTTATTTTGGGTGCTGGGATTATTTTCTTCCTGCTTTCTAAGTGTGTTTGAGGTGTTTTCTAATGACAGTAAACATATATATGTATTTCTGAGAATTAGAACACTTATTGAGCAATAATTATTTTTTCTTATGACTGTTAAAAATTGGAAATATAATGTAAAATATTTCCTGCAGTTTACATTTACTCTACATTTAAACAAATAAAAATTTTATTGGGAGGGTGACTTAATAATATACAACACCTGGCATTTAATCACGATGATAGACGCGCCGGCGTCTCTGCAGGGTATATAGTAGAAATATGTATACCAGATATGAAGATTATCATGAACTGTTTGTTTGATTGTCACATGCCCTTTTGGATGTTGATAATTTTATCTATACTCATCGTCGTCGCATTTAACTGGTGAATCACTAGTGAAAAAATACTCAAAAAGTCCTATATGATTTTCAGAACAGCTAAGGAGATTGAAACAGAACAGGCCGTACCTTTGGAGAGTCTTCGAGACCCAGAGGCAGATGGAGCCCGTGCACAGAGACCAGATTGGCTGGTTGTTATCGGTGTTTGTACACATCTTGGTTGCGTGCCTATCGCTAATGCGGGCGACTTTGGTGGCTACTATTGCCCCTGCCATGGTTCGCACTACGACGCCTCTGGGCGTATCCGTAAGGGACCAGCCCCATTAAACCTCGAAGTCCCACCCCACACCTTTGGCGATGAAGAAGGAATCCTTGTTGTTGGTTAAATGAAATCGTCGCCATCTTTTAGACAATTATTTATTTAAGCATAATTGTAATATGTATAGAGAAATACGAACGATCATTAAATGTTATGAAAACACCTAATAATCTTTTTTATTAAGTTAATAATCAAGAAGTTGAATATACATCCATATTCATGATTTATAAAAAAATCTGTGATATAACCAAATCGATGTTTATAAAGTAAATAAAAATCAGGATAATTGAATTATTTTATTTCTTTGTTTTCCGATTTCTTATGCTTCTGACAGTTACCAATATGTAACATCTAAAATTGCTTTATCTAAGTTAGATTTACTATTATAATGTTATATACAATCAACTTAAATTATAGGTAATCTTATAATACAGTAATTGATGACAGACTTGTAGGCCAATTATATTGAAAATTCGAAAATTATAAGAGAAGTTTAACCAAAATAGTTATAAAATAAATTGTTGCAGGGTGAGTCATTTGAAAGAACACTTGTGTGATGTGTGAGAAGTTGCGCGGAGGCCGATTTGTAGATTAATCTTACTCTAGTATTAATTGAAAATAAACGAGAATAAGTTGCCTATATTTACAAAATTACTAAGCGCTTATGTATATTTGGCGAAATAAATTAACTAATTCTAAAACATAAGATGGAAGTAATATGTACCGAGGGGCGTGTGAATAGTTCTAGATGGGGATCTGTGTACACGGCCGCTGCGACTCGCATTTTCGTATATTTTCTGCACGTTTTCGATCGATACATTTATGTTTTAATATATTTCATGCTATTAAAAGCTAAGTATGAATTTAACACTCGATATAAATCAAAGTAGGTTCGTATAAAGTCAAAAAACAATGTCAATTACAAAAAGGTAAGAAAATACCAAAACATTGACGGATTACATGTCAGAGAATAAAGCATGTCTAAAATATACGAAGAAATGCGACTTCAGTTATCATTTTGTATTTAAATAATAATCCAAGCTGAACTCTGATCGATTATATTAATTGGCGCGCAAATATTTGCCCAATCGTGTCTTCAGCGTTCTCCTGATATGGCACAAAATCAGGTCATTGTTGAGACTTTAATGGTTTATTATATTGTCAATCAAGGTTTCTTAATAAGTTTGATATAGATGCTCAACGTAAAAGAGAGGAATTTAATGAGGTCTAAAACCAAAATGTGAAGTGTGCATTGACATAAGTATTGATAAATACATAAACGTTCCGGAAGTCCATAAAATTTTTATAACATTGATTAATTATTATTCTTTACGATAACGTACATATATCATTTTGAACACAGATTATAATATTATCGATTCACATTCAAAGTGTAGACATAAATTTCAAAATACAGAAAAATATATTATTAATTATCGTAAACATCTATCCATTTATATATTTATAACACTATTAGATATCTGACGTTAATATTTGTGTTGTGTAAATATAGATATTATTGTTATTTATTTATAGAAAATAGTTTTGTGCGATAACTTAAATGCGTTTCGAACACTATTATCGTATCGTATCGCTATTTGTCAAACTTTGCTGTCAATTTATTTATTTTAGTGCGTAGACTGTGGCGCGCATAGACTATCCTATAGTTAGCAAGGTGGATGTGGAGCGTAGACTGGTGCCAGGTCAAGTGTCAGGTGGCGGAGTGCCCGGTCTCTTGAGGCAGAGCGACATGCTCGCGACGATTTAATTATCTGTAGCACCATCGCTTTACAGTCTAAACACACCGCCATCTGCACACCTCGTAGTCTTTCCGCTGCGTTCCCACTAGTGAACCCTGCTGTGGGGGGCAGTGACAGAGGCTCACAGAAGCCGAGTGCAGAGGTTCCGCGCGAGGACGGCGCAGAGGAGTGTCCTCCTGTACTTCGCCGCACCGCCGCCGGGCTACTTGGTGCACTTCCCACGCTGTTTTCCGCGCCCACCTACGATACAAATTAAAATTTAAAAAATACTTCTTATTTTTAATATCTGCACTTCAAGTATTGTACTTAAAATATTGACAAATTTATTGTTAAATTATATGCGTTATATTGTTAAATACTGTCTGTAGTTTTAAACGCGATATATTGTATCCGATGTTTCGGATGCTTTGCAGTAGCGATGACCACGGTTGCTGCAAAGCATCCGAAACATCGGGCCGTAGTTAAACATAATTTTTAAACAAGTTTAACTAAAATATGTCGGGTTTAAACCGTTAAAGTAGCGTGTGAGTGCCATCATTTTAAAAGGATTTTAGCCTCGAAGCGGTTTTTTAAGAATCAAATATATTATTAATTTTACCGGTGTTTTGTTGTATAGATAAATATTTAAAAAGAAAATAACATAAGTTGAAGTGTGCTTAGTGTTACAAAATGTAACATATTTTTTTTTATTTATTATACAAAACCATCCAGCCTGAATTCAACGCTAACTCAGCCTATCTCAATAACAATAGAAATATAATTTTGCTCTAAGTAATGAAGTACACTCACGGTGTTAGTGTCTGAACCGAGGCGCGTTACCAAGGATCTTGGGAAGGAGGGCGGAGGCGCCGGTGCGCGCTCTTCATCTGGTGAAGGCAGCAGCGACGGACTCAGAAGCACCACAGGCACGTGCGCGAAATGCTCCGTCGGTATACGCATCTAAATTAAAACATTACAAGGTAAACATAAAAAAGTAAAATCCTATTTTTTCTACGTGGGTCAGACATTTTTCTGTAGATTTTAAACATAGATTTTTTTTTTCAATATTATATCTCTGTTTTGAACCCATCATTTCTCGAGCTTTACAAAATACTAGGACACGGTATTAAAAATTGGACCATAGAGGGTACACTAAGTAAACTAAGACAAAAAAATACATAAATTACAAATCATTTATAGATATCACAGGACTTGAACCGGCAACCACAGCGTTCCGTGCTGTCACGTGCTATGTGTATAATAATCAATATCTGTATTTGTATTCTGTTATGGAATGTACTCAAGTATTGTTACTTAATTGTTCGATAGTCAAATTTACCTTTGAACAACATTTCCGACACACAGTCTTCTTACACAATTTACATTTTTGACCCCAGGGACCGAACATGCCAAATCTGGTCTTCAGACAGAGGAAGCAAACCTAGAATGATAATACCATAGATTACACACACACAAAAAAAAGACAATAATTAAAGAATGAAAATAATAGTTATTCTATATAATGATGATAATGGTACCATGGTATGACTGTGATCGTGGATTCGAGTTTGTTTCGCGTCATCAATCGTCTCTAAAATAGTTTTTTAATTCACATAAAACATCGTACACTAAATACTGTCTATAGTTTACGCGAGTAGTACACATTGAAATAAAACACTTTAATGGTTTAAAACGGAATGTCTCCCTATGACCACGACTGTTGCAAAGCACCCGAAACGTCTGGCCGTAGTTAAAACCATGTTAACTTATATATATCGCGCTTTAAATAGTGTTTTATTTAAATTATACATTAAGATAAGAATGGACTACAAACCCGTTGCTTCTCAACGTCTTCCTTGACGCGCCCTTCCACCGGTAGTACCTCAAGCTCGGCTTTTGTAAGCACCGACCGGATATGTACGATCTCCTCGAGCGTTAGTGATAGTCGTTCTTCGCTAAGAATTGCCTCCTGCCACTGCTTCTACGACAAATATAACAGCTTACGTATGCAATAACACAAACGTAACTATTTGTGAACAACGATTTTGTTTCTCTTAATTGTTGTAGCTACATAATTATTCGTTTGATATTCCATTTGACTTACGTCTGTAAACGTTATATTCAAGTTTCAAATATAATATTGAAATAAATCTAACAGTACATTGCGCACATATATCTATTCACAATGCGAGTTAGTTTTTTATGATACTTTTGATCAAGTGTTTGTAAAAGTACAAAATTTTTAAACCACAGATATTATTATTACAGATGTTATACATGACGTTTGGTTTGAACTAACCGATTTAATGAGATCGTCCTGCAATGAGGAACGCGACCAAGACAGATCTGCTTCATCACTAGCACCTCCTAGTGATCCAGCTCCTGCACATGATCCACGGGACTCGGGTCGCGAATGAGGAAGAGATTGTGCGCCACTTGGTGCCCTGCCCGTTCCACCAGCACCCTCAGCGCCTGGACTGAGCGCGTGTGCCACTGTATGCCTTCGCATCGAGGCACGTCGGGATGGACACTGCGTAGCCAGATCGTAGGCTGCACAGAAAAAATATGATTGCTAATGCATTCTTACAAAAATGATATTAGATGGTGTTATCGAATATTAAAACATTAGTAGAAATTCTAACTTGTCATAGAATTTCTTTTCATCATTTCATTATAAGAGCTGTTTCCTCGATATACATTATAAATTTTGATTTCTTTGACAATGTGAATATTTGTTTCTCGGTTCTAAATCAGTTAAGTATTTTTTCAAATTACATTTGAACATATGTACATATCTAAATATATATTTTTTAATTAATGCTGTTTCAACTACGTCTACATAATTAGACACATCAACATTGATTACTAGTACAATATACGTGATTGCGGTTTCATTTCAAAATTTACATCAAAAAGCTGCAAACAAAAATCGCCTAAAAAGAGCAACAAAATTGATAAAGCAGTTTATAAATTATAATTATGATTTTACATGTGTTTATACATTTACATGATCCCACAGCTGGGATTCCGGTCTCATACAAGCCTTTATTTCAACACATCTGATACATGTAGAATATTTTGTTGCGGTGTTTCTTACATTATTTTTCTTTCGTCTGAGACTGTGTCATAATTTACAGAAAAATAAATATATCGTTGCACAACCTGTAATCAAAGTCTCGATCTTCTACACACACCCAGAAATTAACCTGTAAAATCCCCTGTAGAGAATAAGTGGATGAAATGGTTCGCATGGACTGGTTACTCGACGTTGTCCCTACATCCAGGTACAACAAAAGCTGAGTGGTGTCCCTCCACAGACATCTATTTTATTCTTTTGTTAATGTATTTTTGTGTATGTGAAATAAATGATTCGAAATGAATTCATTTGAAGTACTGAAGCTTGGATATCGGTAACACGTGTATATTTATAACGTAAGTTTACTACGAAAATAATGCTAAGCTATAAGAATCGGCAGATGTCGTTGCTTGATACATGTTATTAAGCAATGAGAACAACATGCGGAGAGCGTACATTCTAGAGTCTCGTCGCAGAACTGGTGGTATTCGTCGTGCGAGATGTGAGCCCGGGGCGGCGCCCGAGGAGGCTCCGCTGCACGGTGACGTCACGACACAGCAACGCATCAGATTACGCGTGTTAACAGCAACAATAAAGTGCACACTTTAGCAACAATTGCTAGCTTATTAAAATGTCTACTGCCGTGTGTAAATTACATATCCTAAAGCAAGATACTCGAGATAAATTTCTTTAAAAGGCTTAACATTAAAGCTTTTTTAAATTACACCTAGACCGAATCATGATGTAAATAAGTATATCACATAGTTATATACAATATTTAACACATAAAAAACATACATTTTAAATCAACAAGAATTTTACATAAAAATTTTACAAAAAAAAAGAACATTATTATTTGATCGAAATATTTTAGCATTACAACTTCAGAGCAGTATTATTCTCAATGACTTGGCAAAGTAGAAGATAATAAAATCTCATCCATAAAGTGGACAATTACCTGTCCTTTTCCATGGTTTAGGCGCGGTTTGTTGCTGTTGATGGTGGTAGTGAATCCGTGGGGCCGGCAGAGGGCGGTCGTTGGGAGAACCACAGGTTTCTGTGTCTTCGTCATCCTCATCATCCTATAACAAAAAACGATAAAGGTTATGTTTAATTCTACAAAACCAACACACAACTCTTGCTCAAAATCCTTTAGTTATAATTTTTGTTGTCTCGTAAAAATTATTTCTCATGCTTCGTTACTTTATTTGTGCTCACAATCGGTCTATAAACATAATTATTATTACAAATTTTAAAAGCTTTGTAACCTATTAAATGCACCTATGATCACGACTTCTGTTTAAATATTTCACTGTAATCAATGGCTTAACAATTATGTGTAGCAGGCTATATTTTCAATCAAACTGTTTTGGAGCTGAAACGCTATAAACATCAAAACGTTCTGATGTTTGAACATTCTTACCTCGAGATTATCGAAGTCAACTTTGATAAGCCTCCGCTGCGGTGGTGCCCTAGGGGTGACGTCACCGCTTCCAGTGGTGCCTACCCCCACTCCTGTGGCTACCCCTCCCACCCCACCACTCACGCCGCCCGCGCCATTTGTCGCTGTAAAAGGTATCAGTAATATTTACCACATTTATTTAATGATGACAATCCGACAATTTCATTATATGTTTAAATTATATATTTATAAATGTGATCTTTGTTTAATATATATTTTGTTATATTTATGCAATATTTTTGTAAACTTTATAAATATTCCGACTTTTGAGTAACTATTCGTTTTAATTTCGACGCCTAGAACGAGATAAATATTATTCTTAGCACAAAACCTGTGCCTCATTTAATCAAGATAGATTGTATTCTGTACTGTGAACCAAATTGTACAAATTTTGATAATTACTGAATACAACAAAAAGCATTGGCTATTCATCTACGTTCTACAGTTTAAGATAGACCTATTTGTCTGACCAGAGGTTTGGCCTGGTTTTGTGGTTCCTAGAAAAACTTTGAAAAAATCGTGACAGATCTGAATAAAATCAATATTTCCATAATTTAAGTTATTATAGTTGTTTTTGAATAATAATAAATATTCAGAATTAAATAGAGCAATATCTTATAGTTAGGCTAAACTAAATGCTATATTATTGTCACTATGTACTAAAAAATACAGGAAACCTTAATAATTAAAATTCAGATTATTTCTAATATGCACATTTTTTATAAATCTGTCTCAAAATGTAGAATATTAAAGTTATCGGTTTTTGTAGCTTACTGATATTTAACGTACATGGGTTTAGCTGCCTTTGATTTTATAGGCCTCAATAAATATGTAGTTGTCAGCGTTGAAAACTTTTTACTTCTTTAAATATCAGAAAAAGTAAAGTCTAAAACGAATTTAGCTTTGTCAGACAGTCAGACACTACACAGGCATTTAGGCAACGAAAGGTCATTTGCAGACGAGAGAAACATTTCCTTGTGCCCAGTATTCACTTCACGTTAAATGTCAGCGTATTATTATTAAGATGTTGCAATTATCAAGGCCTATGGGCCATGCATCGTTGAAATATGTGTCTGAACATATATAAACATCTTAAATTGTCAGTGAAAGTCATCGTAAATATGCTAAAACTACTTAAGTTACATATAAACTTGGTCAAAAATTCTGCCCATTCACATATTCACAATAGTATATATTTTTACATACAATGAATAATATTTATAATCTTATAACTATTTAACTTGCTAAGTAGAAGTGTCGAGAGATCAGGTCAATAAACTGACACGGCCCACCTCTATCGAAATACAATTAAAAGAGCTTCACGCTTCACCAAACAAAATGTACCTAAAAAGGCTATTTGAGAACAGTTAAATTTGGTTTTATTTGTTGTGCTCAAAAACTAAATATAAATAGATTGTATTAAGAAATAAGTTAAATAAAAGTGCTGCGTTTAATACAAAGAAAACAACACGTGTAAAAGAACAATGTATTAAAAATATTTCAATCGTAAAAATATAAGCGCCTTAATCAACAATTTATTTAAATATTGCATACTTTTTGTTTGTATTCATTACCCTGCTTTTTTTAAATTTTATTAACAGATAGAAGCTAGTGCGTGTTCGGGGTGTGGTGGTTATTTTACCAGTGCGTGCGTATGGCTGGGGTGGACTGCCCCAGTAAGACTTGTCTTGCGCGACATCGAGTGGAGGTTCGTCGGGGCTGGCGGGCTCCAATCCGCCCACCAGCACCGCCGGAGATACGCGCCACCGCCGCACCTTGCCGTTCTATTGGCGCTACTGGTCAAGTTGACCCTGGGATATTCACGTACACACAATCTCACACGCTCCACACAAGCACAAAACAAACCACCTTTCGCGATCTGATTTAAAGAGGTATCTGAATTCAACTCTCAAAGTAGAGCATGAAATGATTCATCGTTTGTTTAATAGTAGTTTGGGAGAAAATAGGCCAGGTCTCGTGTATCGGGGCTGAGTGGCATTGACCTAAAACGAGGCCTGCAGGCTTCGATGTGCTTGCAAATTAATCAATAAAAGCAACACTGAAAAATCACAATCACAAGTGCGTATTTAACAAATGGTTACGTTATTAAATCGAAATGAACCGACCCGAATGTAAATAATTCTTAATATGCGCGGCTGGTAGCTGTGGTGTTAACCGCCATATTGGCGTTGGGGGTTGCTAACGCATGCGCAGAATACTATAACGAGCTATTTTAAACAACGAGGGATAATATTGACGAGGGAAATACCAAACCAGTTAAAAAAAAGGTTGCGTGTTATTGTGCAAAGGCTTATTCTCATATTGATATTTACTATCTTTTCGAAGTAGTGTTTTATATCTTATTTAAAAGTTAAATTTATGAATTATGTAAAATTGTATCATGTTTCTTTACACATTACATACTATTTACAACGTGGGAACATCTACTACGGAAGATACGTATCAAATTCTTATTGCATAGTGGAAGTGAAAGTATAACAATTATTACAAAGGAATGTAATTAAAGAAAACACGTTGATGTAGTGCCAATTAATACAAGGCGGTGTACACTTTCCTATTCTAGAGTTGGTTTTCTTCAATTTGAAGTATATTTCAGGGGTCGATTACAGGCAAGTTGATCAGACTTCTATGTTCTGATGCCTTTGTTTCCCAGGATACTAATGGCGGATCCAGCTTTGGTGCCAAGAGGGGGTCATGTAGTCGTGGTCAAGTCAAGACCTTTAATTTAATTTTGACAACAACACAAGTTCAAAGTAGTTATTTTATTAATGTACATACGTTAACGTACTGTACTTCAAAATTTTAATTCTTAATTATACACTTGAAAAACTTATAACAATAATTAACTAAGTCCTGGAATCAGCTTAGGGGGGTGATCCCATGACCTCATGACCCTCCCCCTGGATCCGCCGCAGCAGGATACAACCCAACCTTACTTAACACCCTAATTTAGCAAAGAAACGTCACGCGACAGTTGATAACGTTGCTAATTTATCTCGGAGTAGGAAGTCTGAAGTATCACAATATAAAATATAAACTAGTTTGTGACTGTGAACAACTCGATCCGACTGCGCCACTTAAGCATTCACTCACAATTACGATATCGCTTTAAAGAGAGACTTCCTTATTGGGAATCGAACCGGCTAACTTGTTTGCAGAACCAGAAACGAGGTTGTCTATCGAGACAAGAAGAATACAACATTAAAGAATCAGACCATCGTTTTACTTTATGTTTGAATACTCTAGATGTGTAATTAGTAGACAATAAAATATAACATTTTTATCGGTTTTAAACGCTATATGTATTATTTATTTATTTACGTTTTAAGCTGATATGTTTATTTATTTATTTATTTATTTATTTGGTTTCCATACAACATATATGTCGAAGTATGTGGTGCAGAATTGTTTTTAAAATTGGTGACGTCGGCAGCACCGACGTCATAATTGTCAATATTGTTAGAGTGGTCCATTTTTACTATTGAAACACTTTTATAATTGAATAATAAAAATAGCTATAGACTAGACGTTCGCTCTGAGAGCGCCGTCCTTCCAAAAGTGCCCTGCGCTACAACGGACGGCCTTATATAAGCACGTAGTGGGGGATTTCAGTGGAGCGACCGACGTGAGTCACTTGTTTACGCCGTTAGGAACACGTGCAGCGATGACGCAACGAATCGCCTGTTTTGCGCCGATACGACCATCCTGACCGGCTGTGCGCGCTCTGCACTAGCCGTTTTGGTGTTTTACTGATGATTATTAATTTCTGAAACTGGTAAATTTTAATCTTTGAGATTGGTATCTGTGAACCAGGTTGCTAATAATTATTATGGTCAGCAATAAGATTCATATCTGACTGAGTTTAGTGTATACTGTAGTGTTATGTTGTCACGTACACTGTGACACCAAAGTCACGCACTCTGTGGTACCAAAGTCGTGTACCCTGTGGTACTATTGTCGTGTAACACATCACAATAGTTACAGTGACAAATTATATTGGTAAAAGGTCATTTTAATTAACTGTTCATTCCACATGACAACAGTTTAAATCAATTGCTATTGTAAACGGTGACTTATTTAAGTAAACTGCTCATTCCACATGACAACAGTTAAGGACTAATGATATTGGTGATCTTATATTTTAATTTTATTGAACTGCTCATTCCACATGACAACAGTTTCGTATTTTTAATTTTATTGAACTGCTCATTCCACATGACAACAGTTTCGTATTTTTAATTTTATTGAACTGCTCATTCCACATGACAACAGTTTCGTATTTTTAATGTGTAGGCGGATAGCGAATACAATTATAGACAACACATGGTAAGGATAGGTTGGAGACAGGGCGATGCTGCATAAAGCAGAGGCTCTAAAGGATGATTTGACTAGGTCGATGCTGTGATCTAGGCGGTCCTGAGCGCCGCGGACACAGGGGAATAAATTATTATTATTTTTTTTTTTTTCGGGTAGGATTTCGCTACCGCTGGCCGTTGGTGGGCTCCAATACCCCAACGTGCATCTTTTCACATTATTATTATTTTTTTTTTTTTTTTTTGGCCGTTGGTGGGCTCCAATACCCCAACGTGCATCTTTTCACATAATATTTATGATTGACTCATTAACGATCAGTCGCTAAGAGCAATAATATTATTAGGATTAGTCAAAGGACTAAATGAAGTGAAGAATAAGTATTGCGCCTCGCTAGGTTAACAGATTAAATGGAACTCACCGGGATTTGTCAGATTGTCTCAATCTGAAGACTTTTTAATTTTTAACCAGACAAGGTCATAGGTCATTACATTAACTGTAAATTCTGCTGGGTTCTTGAACCCCTGAACCCTTGTGATATTCAATATCGAAATCATAATTTTGTAGAAATGTCCACCATCGATGAATCCACTGCCAAGGTTTCTAACTCTTGAGTTTCTTTTTTGACAAAGTGCAAGTGTTGGAGCTGAGGTTTCCACCGGTATTCCATCATTGCCATTTCCAGTATGAAATTTCCTTGTATCAGGCTATTAAGCGGAGAAGGTAGGTAATCCCACTTCTGATGTCGAAGTATGTGGTGCAGAATTGTTTT